ACTGACGTGAGCGGGTGCTCTTGGACACAACGGTCCACAATATCCATGATTGATGGCAACTCGTTGAATGAGCAAGAGATGATTTAAAATTTATCTCTCAAGGATTCAATTGAGATGTTTTCAAGTGGGTACGATCGAGTTTTAAAAACAGTTTTTTCATTAATAGAAGAGGCATACAAACAAGCGATTTTGCATGATGCAAGCTTCTCTAGCTTTAGCAAATCCTCATCACGAAGGACATAAGCCTCATCTACTCGATCTCGCTCACCAACTAGGTACCCACCCCCTAGTTGGACTTCGGAAAATCCTTCGGGCCCGAAGGGCCAGAACCATCCGGCTTCTTGCCCTGGTTGGGCTTGCCGGAGTTCTTGACGGACTTCCTCCAACGGCAGTGATAGGACTTGTGGCCGATCTTGCCACAGATGCGGCAGCCCGCCGGGGGCTTATCCTCATCCTGAGGATCCTTGGCAGGCCCAGCATGGGCCCTCTTGGACTGAGTCCCAGAGGATTCCCCCTTCTGCTGATAGGGCCTCTTCCAAGAGCCACCGCCCCTGTGTGCCTGAGTCCTGCTACCACCCCCCCCAGGGCCTTCGGCACTAGGCTGCTGCTGAGCACGAGCGTGAGTCATGTACGCACGGAAATTCACATCCGTGTCAATGACCTGCTCCTTGCACTCCTTGTAGGTCCTCCACTGGTGCTCCCTGCGCACAACATGCACACGCTTGATGTGCTCAGGGAGTCCCTTGAAGAACTGGTGGATGACCTCGCTCTCAGGAAGAGCAGTCTTCAGCAGCGACAGAGTTTTCTCAAACTCCTTGGCGTACTCGCGTACAGGCTGGTCACCGCACTGGATGTTCTCCAGGCGGCTACGCACCTCGAGCGCCGGGGGCTGACTCAGGAATGCCGCCAGCATGGCAGCTTTGAACTCCTCCCAGCCAAAAGGATGGCCATTAGCCTCTGCGTGGCGTTTGTTGGCATACACCAACTTGCTCGCAATGTCGTCCAGGGCAAGGGTCGCAGCGACCACGCGAGCCTCGCTACGCACATTGTGGATGGACATAAAGTCCTCCGTCATGGAGAGCCAAGTCTCAACGTCAGTTTTGCCATGGACAAAACGAGGCAGGGCCGAAGGGCAGGAGCCAAAAGCATTTGCAGCTGCAGCAGGAGGCTCAGCACGTGCTCCAGAAGGAGGAGGAACAACAGGAGGTGCAGCAGCAAGTGCAGCATGGCTGTTAGCGGCATTGGCGACTCGCTCTGCTGCAGGAGCAGGCTGATAGAGGTTGCCACGCCGGATCTCCCTGCACAGAGATGTTTTTCTCTTGCTTCTTGAGCTGATCCTGCACGAACTGGAGAGTGGTCTGCAGGTCCTGAATGAAACTGGAGGTGTCGTTTTCCTTAGGGATCAACTGTACCTCCCTGGTCAGCTGCTCAATCAAGGCCTGAAGCTTAACAGAATCAGCCTCCAAGTTCTGGATGCGGCACTGTTGCACTCCAATGAGAATATTCTGCTCCGTGAGTTGAGTCTGGAGTTTGACAGCAATGTTCTCAGTCTCGTTAGAGACACCCTCATCAGAGCCAGCCTCATCCTCATTTTCAGCATCAGCCTCAAGGTCAGCTTCACTTCCATTGATCTCCATGTCAACCACGAAATCCTCAAGGTTGAGATCAATGTCAGCAGCAGCAGCAGCATTATCTCCTTCATTGCCAACAACAGACACCTCCTTAGGAGCATCCATCTCTTGACCAGAAGCCATGAAACAGGTTAAGGACAGGAGATCTCAACAGATCTTAGAATAATCTTTAAGAAATCTGATTACTCTTATAGAATAATCCAATACAGAATCTCTTAAGATTGACTTGTTTGCTAAATCTCTCTATCACCTCAATGATAGAGCAAGATATACTCAAGAAAGTAATCCTCAACAAGTCCTTGTAGATCTGAAGATAAACTCTTCTACTCAAAGTAGATCAAGAGTCTTCCACCAAAGGTGGGTAAGAGAAATTAATCTCTTCAAATTTCTTCTCAATGTTGATGAAGAAGAGGAGCTCCTTGTAGATCTTAGCTCCAATGATGGTTTGAAGAAGTTGAAGTTTGAAGATGTAGATCTTGAAGATGCTTTTGTAGATCTTGAAATTTCTTCAAAATCTTCACTGCTCCTTGGATAAAATCCTAGATCCACAAGCTAGGATCCTCTAAAAAAAATATTCCAAGTAGCAAATGGCCACACGAGGCCAAGGAAGAACCTTGCTCTAGATACCAATGTAATGCCCAAGGCTATTATAATGGCGGTTACAAGGCTTTTATAATATTCCAATACAAAATAGTAGCCTTAACTAGCCTCAACAGCCTTGGAGATGAAGATCTTCTTAATGCCTTTGATGAAAAGCACTTGGAGTAGTTGTGTAGGGAAGCTTGTGAGAGAGCCTAAAGGACTTAGCCAAATAATCCCATTTCCAATTGTTTAGTTGGAGTGGGAGGTTGAGAATGAGCTTGCTTAGCTCAGCCCCCCTCAATACACCCCTTGGGGAACTATCCCAACCATGGTTTCCATGGTGGGATGGTTCCTAGGCTTGGAGCCTATGTGGCAATTGTGTTGGGTTGGAAAACCCAACTTAGAACCATTCAATGGTTGTGTTTAGGATAGAGTAGATTGTAACAATTGTTTGGCAGTTTCTGATTGGTTGGAATTCCAACCTTTGTGATTTCACTTTGATGGGTTGGAGTCCCAAACCTCTTGGTTGAGGTTTGGAAAACCAAACCAACCCTTCCATCCCAACCAAAGCCAACCTTCTTCTCCAAGTCCCTCTTTGTCGAGAAAACTCTCGACATTTGCTTAGAGGGAAGTTGGTTAGTTAGCTTAGTTAGGGCAATGCGTTACACATGTTCATCACCATCATTCCCAATACAAACCAAAATGGGCCACTCGGTACGCGCAGTATTTAATACTATTGCGGCTAATCGTTTCCCCGCCGAAGTGGAGAGCGCCAATCGTTCTTCTCTGACGTGCCGCATTTTCTGTCCTCCTCGTGATCGATTCCCGGCCCCTCTCCCCCCTTCCCCCTGGCTCCGTTGTACCCGTTTCAGTGTGACTCCGTTAACGCAGGAGGAGAAGGACGAGCTGGAGGTGGCGAAGACCCCAGGCCTGCTTGCACCCATGAGCATCTCAGTCCGGCAAATGGTGATTGATGCGTGGGGATCATTGCGGGATAGAGTAACTGATGCAAAAAGAAATTAAAGGTTACCTGACTGGCATTGGAAAAATGTGGGAAGTCTGTCGTCCATAGTCAGATGCAGGCACCTTAGTTCTGTCACTTTCATGACTTTTGAGGCGCCTCAAAAGTTGTCGTCATAGCCAGATGCATGCAGGCACCTTGTCGTAACAAAGCCCCTCCCTTGTTACGTCCCTACTCCCGCTCCCTGGCGCAGCCCGACAATCCCGAGGAGTTTGAGAACCTTGGCTCCATGCGCACACGCTACTCGCCTGCCCTCGTCTACCGCCTCCTCAGAAACTTTGAGGATGCTCCACGTGTATATAAGAACATCGCCCACTGTGACGTGGAGCCACTGGAAGAGCCTGGCACCTTTAGAGTCACACAGCACATCAAGTGGCGGTTCCTGTTTCTCTCCGGCACATTCGCCACCACACTCATCTGCCAGCGAAACGACGTAGCCAGATCAGTCAACTTTAAGCTGTATGAATTTCTTCAACCTTCTCTCTCTCCCCCCCCCCCCCCCGTCTCTCTCTCTATCTTTCTCTCTCCTTTTGTAATCTCTCCTTCCTATGCTGCCCTAACATTCCTGTAGTCTCCTCTCCACACATGCTGCCCCCCTCTCCACTCATTTTCGTTCCGTTGCTACACTTCACTCCGATCAGGGCTGAGCCTGGCTTCATGAAGGCTTTCAGTGGAGGCTGGACTATTCACGACCTGAGCCCTCCGAAGCAATTGCCCCTTGCATCTCCATCCACTCCGCCTTCCAAGGTAGCCCTGAAGGCCAGCTTCCTTCAGTCGCTGGCTGCAGCAATTCCAGGTGCGGCTGCCACGGCAGCTGAAGCAGAAACGCCTTCTGTAACTCCTGAAGAAGCACCAACAGGAATTTCGCCTAGCGGATCCTTGATTGAGATGTGGCAGCTGTCTCAGCCTGCAATGGTCCCCCCTCGACCCCTTTGTAAGTGTTCATTCATGTTTCACAAATAACAAATATCGCCTGTGCATGCACACTCTGCAATCTGTATCATTTTCTCTTTGCATTCAGAAAATTAGCACCACATGTATAACGTGCCCTTGCTGGTTTTGGCAGTGCCCTATGTTTATGGCATCATGGCAACCAGCATGCGAGCGATCTTTCAAGACCTGTGCGTTGAGGCTGACCGAGTTGAGTGGTTGGAGAAAGAGGCATCTGCCAAGGCTCAACCAAACATTCTGGTTTCAACTTAGCACTATCACTAGAATGTAAATTATGTTGCCTCACCGTGCCATGTACTGGTACAACAATGAAGCCATCTCAGCTGTACTCGAGCTGTTTGAATTCTGGATAATAGGCCTCGAGCTGTACTCGTTCCGTAAACCGCCACATCACCGTCGATTCCACGTCATCGCGTTTCGCGGCACAATTGCCCCTCCCTGGGCCTGTCGCCAAACCACATGTCACGTGTCTCTCGCCTTCCGCATTCAAGGCTTTCCCAAAACCGATAAATCCCTCCACACCGAACCTCACATCGCTTTCTCCCGCTAATTATTTCCCTTGATCCTGGTTCAGGTCCGCCAACACCCCCGAATTCTTCCCAGCTGCTTCAGCTTCCCCCCCCACCCACTCTTCCCCCGTCCGACAATTCCGCTACACCACATGAAAGCCCCAGTAAATCCGCTGCACCCGTCGATTCTTGTAAGAAGCACTCTATTTCTATACCACCTTCATTTGAGTGTCTTCCCTTTTGTCTCGTTTAGCCGCACAACGGTAGTTAATCTGCCACGTTAGGCCACGTGAGGCTGTGATTCCAATGGCGGCTCTCGCGTCCTCCGCGTCTCTTCGCCTCGCGGCAGCGCCGCTCGCCGGGAAAACCCAGGCGCGCCTCAGCTCCGCGCAAAGCGAGCTCGCGGGACTTTCGCAAGGCCTTGCGAACATGTCGGTTTCCCGCTCGTCCGCACAACCTGCGGTTAGCCGCGTCGTCACGCCAGTCGCAAGTAAGTCGTTTTCAGTCGTAGTCGTAGGTGAACCGCGAGGGTTTACTCTCGGGTTTAGCACGTAGGTCTCGCTGGCCGGTTATTCAGCCAGTTTCCGCCTCATCAACAGGCAGGTGTCAAACGGCCATCGTCAAGCGGCGATGACGCAAAACGTTCCCTGGTGGAGTTGACAATGGAGGGCATTCAGTACCTACCTCACATTAAGTCTCAGCCTGCTGCCGCTCGTTCTCTACACTCCGTACCAACGGCTGCAGCTCGTTTCTAGCAACTCGGCGTTGAGCTATTTTCGTCGTCCGTCGTGCGCGCACGTGCAAGCCAGATCCGCTGTATTGGAAAAGATGAAAGCGTTCATTGTGTCACGCCCCGGCTCATTTAGAAACAGCCTGCTGCGTGTGCAAGTATGCATTTACGAGATTCGTGGGAGACCGACGGGTTGCGAGAAGGCGTCTGTGAAAGGCGTTAGTGAAATTGTTTTTTTTTTCTGAAAGACAGCTGTCACTAAAACGGTGTCAAGGAGGAAACCTTTAGGAGCAGAGGGGACCGACAAACAGAAGCAGCGTGGGTGGTAGGACGAATGAGGAGGGTAACAATTGACGGGGGGAACACAGTAGAATAGCCGAGATGAAGTTCCATGAGAGATGTGGATAATGAGACTGAGGAGCGAGAGAGCGAGGGGGAGGAGAGGGGAGGAGGAGTTTGCAACCAAAGGAGAAGGAGCAAGCGGAGGAGACGAGGACGAGGAGGGTTGGGGATGGTGCTGGCGAGGGAAAGGGGGAGGGCAGGGCAGGACAGGAGGCTGCGGAGGGATATCAAGTGAGGAAATATAAGGGGAGTGAATCGAGATGAGAGGGTGGGAGGAGATGAGAGGGTGGGGGAAGATGAGAGGGTGGGGGAAGATGAGAGGGTGGGAGGAGATGAGAGGGTGGGGGAAGATGAGAGGGTGGGAGGAGATGAGAGGGTGGGGGAAGATGAGACGGTGGCGGAGAATGAGGGAGTGGGAGGAGATGAGAGAATGGGAGGAGATGAGGAAGTGGAAGGGGTGGATTCAGAAAGCAGTTGGCGTGACCGCAGGCGACTGACCGACTTTTTTTAGCCTCGATTCTCCGCCATCTTTCATTTTCCGCCCCCCCTCCCACCCCTCCCCTTTCCGCACCTTCGTCTCTTCTCCCTTCCCCCTTCCCACCTCCTCCGTTTTCCTATCTATAAATCCGAACTCCCACTCTGACTCCCTCTTTTCTCTCCCCCTCTCCCCCTTCATTCCGATCCCCTCTTTCTGTCTCATCCCCCCTGCCTTGCACAACCCTCCCTTCCTCCCGTATCCTCCCCTTTTTCCCCCGTTCATCTCCTCCTCTCTGTGTTCCCCTCGCTTTTCAACTCGTTAGCCCCAACCTTCCTCCCTCTTCCCGCCTTCTCCATCTCCCTCTCCCGTGACAATAACAAAGCGATCTAACCGGCAGGAGGCGAAACAATGGCTGTTACGCGCTCCAACCACCCTTCCCTCCTCCGTCCTTCTCCACTTACCTTTTCCTCGCCCCTCCCCGCTCCCTCACACACTCCCTTCTTCTCCCCTGTCATTTCGCTCCTCGCAGCGAGTGTGCGACCTGACAGGCAAGAGGCGCAACCACAGGGACTGAGTTCCCTTTTCTAACCATCTTCCCCGCTCCCTCCACCTCATTCGCTCCCTCTTCCCCATTCCTTCCCCACCCTCTCGTTGCGCCGCCACCATCCCATGCCCTTGCTACTTCTAAGAGAGATTGTGCAACTTGACAGGCAAGAGGCGCAACAGTGGCCATTCAGTGTTTTTTTCCACCATCTTCCACTCTTCCTCTGCCTCACTCTCTCCCTCTTACCCTCTTCCGTTCCCCCTTTCCCTACTTCCTCACCATGCCTTCCCCACCATCCCATCCCCTTCACCTCCCAGAGCGAGTGTGCGACCTGACAGGCAAGAGGCGCAACAACGGCTACTCGGTCTCCTTCTCAAACCATCGTACCAAGAAGGTGCAGCAGCCGAACCTGCAGTACAAGCGTGTGTGGTGGGAGGAGGGGGAGCGGTACGTGCGCCTCAAGCTCAGCACCAAGGCCATCAAGACACTCGAGTGGAAGGGGCTCGATAAGATGGCTAAGGAGGCCGGCATTGACCTTAGCAAGTTCTGAAAATGTCTACAGTGCTGAAAGTGTTTCTTTTGTATTCTTACAGTGCAAATTATGTGGTGAAGGTTTACAATAGCATGAACGTTCCAAAGAAACTCTAATTTGAACGTGGTAGTAGGTAGTGAGCATTCACGTACACAAGTAATCCAACCGGCCAAGCAGGTTTGTTTTGAGTCAGGTCAGGACTCAGGCAGGTAATTTTCCTCCACACCCACAACTCTGCCAAACGTGTTCTGAGAAATGAAGTAACGCCTTCCCCGTGCAGCTGGTGCTTCCGCGGATCGTCGGAGTGTACGCGGAACGGCTTCCGCGCGCCTGCACGGCGCGCGTACCGCCGCTCCCACGCGCCGTCGTCGTGCTGCTGCTCCACCTCCGCCAAGAGCGGACCGAACGCCACGTGGACGACACGAGGGTTCGCCTCGGTCGTCGCATCGCCTACCGCGTCGAGGACCATGTCGTCGGCTGTCGCGCTGGCGACGCCTGACGCGACATCCTCGATACGAAACGAATCGCTTATCGAAATTCGCCGTCTGGTAAACTCGAGGAGTTTGCGACCGTCAGGAGCACGGGAAGCGCGGGTGAGAATGAGAGTTATGACGAGAAACAATGCATGCACGTTACGAGAGTTTGCGACATTCGCTGAGACTCGTACGCGCTAAAGAGTCGCTATAGTGGCTGCAAACCATCGTGGGAGTCGTAAGCGGAAGTGACGGGGTAAAACTAAAGGAAGTGACCCAGTTTCCTAGTTTTACCTGGTCACTCGGAGAAACTGAATCGGCTGGGTGACTGGCGAAGATTGGAGTGCGTGTGGCGATGCGAAAGCCGCTTTTGCCCGCCTCGCCTTGTGGAGGTTGGAGTAGTGAAGAGTAGTGGTATCCTTTTCGCCCGCCTCGCCTTCCATGTTTCGAAAGTTGGATAGAAGCTATTTCGAACGCGATGCGAAGAAGTTACCACATCAGCGTTGAAAATTGGTATCAAAGACTGGTTAGGATTCAAGAAATTTCTATTAACAATTACACTCTTTTTACATTATTACCTATCCCCCCCAACCTCCTCCCCCTCCATCAACTCTCCACATCACATTTCTACTGCACCACAAGTCACATCCATCATGTGCATGTTATCACCCCCTCAACTTTTTGAGGACGAGCCACGTGAGTCACACTAAAGGTCTAAATGACAGCAGCGAGCGTGCACTCGGTGGTGTTGGTCATGGAGTAGCTGTTGCCGTTGCCGAAGCGCAGCTCCTGCACGCAGGGCCGGAAGTCCCACAAGTACGCATACACAATGTTGACCGTCTCCCCGGGGAGCATCTGCAGAGTGCCGCTCGCACCGCGGTTCATGCACATCTCACAGTACCCCGGCGTCGTCTGCACGAAGATCTCGCCTTGCTGGTACTGCGAGGGGTTGGGATCGGGGTTGTCGAGGATGCCCTCCCACACGTTGCCGAAGTTGAAGCACTGCCACACGCGCAGCGGGCTGGTGACGTTGTAGGCGCAGCCGTTGTAGAAGGACATGTTGTAGATGTCGTTGTGCAGGTCGTACGGCCCCAGGTACTGCGAGCGGATCGTCACTGTTGTGCGCCCACAGGCTGGAAGGAGCAGGGGAAGGGGGGGAGGGAGATAAGGGGAGGGATGGGGAAGGAGTGAGTGAGTATAGGTCATACAGCCCCAGGTACTGCGGGCGAATCGTCACCGTCGTGCGCCCGCATGATGGGAAGAGGGAGGGGAGACGGGAAAGTGGAAGATCGGAGTGGGGTTAAGCAGAGGATTCAGTGCCAAGGAAAACCAGAAAAAAATGTGAGCCAAGGGAATTACAAACAGGAGAGGTGGGAAAAAAGGGGAGCAGCAATGCCAAAGCAGGTAGGGAATGAGGGGAAGGGGCAGCATTTGCGCGTACAGGTGGCGAGGGCCTGGCGGCGGGGGATGTGGTCGAGGTAGCCGGGCAGAGGGGCGTCGTGAGCGAAGGTCTCAGCCGCCAGAATGCGCGCGCCCTTCCTCTGCTGCCCTGCGCCCGCCCCGCCAGCCACCGCACCATCCCCACCGTCCGATGGGACGAGGCCCCTGGCGACCTTCATGGCATCCCGCGCTCCACTCACCGCCGCCGCCAGCAGTCCCACTGCCAGCGCCGCCAGCACCAGCAAGCGCATCCCAGCCGTCGCCATGAGGAGAGGCGCGGAGATTACAGGAGAGAAGCGAGAAGCGCGAGAGGCTTGGTGAGGCGAGTGAATAACTTAGTGGGAGCACAGGGCGAGCTGATGACTTCATGACGGCCCATCATGGCTGTTTTATAGGAGGGGATAGACCGCGAGATGAGGTGCACGGATGATTCAAAGGGAGGGTTTCTCTTCTCTGGCAGGGAGGAGGAATCGCCCTTCCTGCTGCTGCTGCTGCTGCTGCTGGTAGAGTCATCACTGCAGCGGCAACGGAGGAGGTGAGCAGTCAGTCAGGACGGCACGGCAAGAGTCACTGTCGACTGCCATGCTGCCTGCAGTAATCGTTCCCCTCACATCGCCACTGCCACCCTGTTGCTCTCCTCCCGCCCGCTTGGCATTCCCGCTGAGAACATCCGCTTTGAGCGGCCGCTGCTGCGCATTGCAAGCTGCCGTGAGACACGGAGGGCGAGGACGACATGTCAATGGTCGGTCGGAAGCGAGAACTCCGACAGATCTGCGAGGCTCCATATCTCGCCGACACGTGGGACACGTGGGACACGTGCGAAATGCCAATGGGCGCCAATCCGTCTTGCTAAGCTCCAGCTGCTTTGCCGCGAAGATGCAGATCTGGCCGACGGATGCGCAGCCGAGATTCAGAGTTTGTCGATCGGCGGCTCGATCTGAGTTGCAACAAACATGGGTGTACACAGCGACACGGGCGGGGAAGCCCGCGCGGCAGCGACGTTGCTCTGAATAGATCGATCGACGGTTAAACCAAACGACTGCATACGAATCGCCTGATCAAGGTCAGCCACGCTCCAGCTCCTTGACACCCCAGCCCCACGGTCGAGCTTGGGGGACAGTTAACCGGCGGTCTGCGAGTCTAACGACATGCAGCAGTCGAGTCGCGGGCGACATGTTGGTTGCCCTACTGAACAACGGCTTTCAAGGACTTCAGACGGTTAGGCTGCTGTCTGGTGGGAGTTGTGTGCGTGTCGCTTTTCGCTTGATGGTTCTACTACGGGCAACTAATTGAAAGGCAAGCTAGAAAACACTGCAGGCTGGCTGGTTGTGTTGCAGGGTGGTGTCTATTGGTGTGCCTCGGGCAAAACGGTTATTACAGGATGACGAAGCCTAAATTCGCCCAAACGAATTTCGGTGAAAGTCAGATGGATACGAAGCCTATCGGGGCGTTCGTCTCTGAACGAATTTGGAATTTATGACTGCTAATTGGAAACTCTTGTAACCCTGCTCACTCTGCGGAACTGACACGGCTCGGGTTTCGCCGAAGTTTTCACCGTCATCTAACTTTTATCCCATATCAAACACGCCTGCAGCTAAAATGTTAATTTATATTTCCAACTCATTTTGAAATGTCTCAATGTTTCTAAGAAATACCGTAAGACGCCCCATTATTTTGCAGAGTGTTGTTTTGCAAATCCAACTTGCTGAAAACACATCTCAGTTCGCTTCTCATATAGAGCACATGAGACAAACACACCAACCAGATCTCACACTATGTACATTGTAGTGGTACTAAAACCCAATCATACCCACAAAACGGAGCAAAGCCACTCAGAAGCCCACCACCTGCTCCTTCGCCTCTGCCTCTCCCCCGCCACTCCTAAGTGGCAGAATGCCAGTCTCGCTCTGCCAGGTGGCGCGCAGCTTCTAGACTTCCCTGCTTCTTCTCAGAAGCCCACCACCTGCTCAATGAGCACTGGCATCTCCTCCTCCTCTCCCTTGCTCTTCCTGGGCGGCAGGATCCCAAACTCGCTCTGCCTAGTAGCGCGCAGCTTCTCCAGCAGCTTCTCATCGGCATTGAAAGCGGCGCGCTGCACGGAGGCAGGCAGCATGCGGAACACCGAGTTCGCCCCCGCCAGGAACCCCGCCTGCGGTCGGCTCTTGGGAATCATGGCAATGCACTCCAGACCCTCGCCGTACGCCAACTGCACATGCAATGAGGCGAGACCAGGGGAAGGGATAGAAATTTAAAACAAGACGGGAATTTTAAGGCAAGTTAAATCGGCAAGCTAATGTGCTTCGCACTCACAGCAGCGTGTGGGAAGCTAGCGGGGACGACCACAAAGTCACCCTCCTTCACGTCGTGCCGCAGCGCCTGCCTGCCGTCGGGGTAGGCGATCTCCACACGCCCCTTGCCCTTGGTGACATACACCATTGCCGCTGCGTTCGCCAGCCATCTGGGCGCCGTCATTGCGTTGCCCTCCAGGCTGAAGCGCGCCACTGCAAACCCCACTTTGCGGAACGCCGGCAGCTTGTACCCGTTGGCCATAGTCACGGTGCCACCGCGCTTCACATAAATGTCCGGCTGGCGCGCCTTGAGGTTGTACGTGAAGTCAGCAAAGATGCTCACACTGCGCTTGGCTCCCTTGCCATAGTGCGGCTGGTCATTCCCCTCCTCCTCCTCCTCCTCCTCAATCTCCTCCTCATCCAGCACCGCTGCCTGCTCGTGCGAGTTCACCAGCTTCTCCAGCTCTGCGCGCAGCTGGGGAGTGACCTTCACGAAGGACGTCTCTTTCTGCGCCTCCAGCAGCTGCTGCACGTCCTTCTCCTCCACGTCCCATGCCTGCGCCATCAGGTCCCGGCTGAAGGGTACGAGGAAGGGGGTGCACAGAATGAGAAACCTGAATGTTGCGCGCAGGAAAATTGACTTGAAAACTGGAACTATAACTGTCACACAAGGCATTGCACAACTCTTTTGAGAATTCTCAAAACCTCCATAACGCATTGTGCGCCACGGGCACGCACCTGAAGCCGTGCAGAATGCCTCCGAAGCGCTCCTTCTGCGCGCCCATGAGGTGGAACGCGGTGTAGCGGCCGGCAGAGGGGCCCTTGGACGTATCGGCGAGAGAGACGATGCGCAGAGGCTGCTGCCCGTTGTTCCACACCCAGCGCGCCCACCCCCTCGGAATCACAAACGCATCGCCCTCCCTCAGCCGCCTACAGTGGGAAAAAAATGGAAACAGAAAAGGGATTGAGCGAGCAAGAATATTAAAGGACGGGGGACGAGAATGTTTAGATTCCATCACTATAGAAAGAAAGCACACGGGGCAACGTACCTGACAGTGGTGGGGGCTCCCATGGGGCTGAGGAGGCCCGCCATAGCCTCGCCGCTCAACACATAGCCCACCTGGCGACACAGGGCATGGCAGAGGAGAGTGCCCCGCAGGCAGGTAGGATGCGGTGGGTAGGTAGACAGAAAGGCGAAAAAACAAAGGGTAAAGTAGGATTGACACATGGACGCGGGGAATCACAGTCAGTGTGGGAAAAACCTGCCCGTTGCACACTCACCTGACCGGAATCGGAGTAGGAGGGCAGTGCAAGCGACTGGCTCTCCACAGTGATCATTGCTGCTCCCACGTCTGCTGCCTGTGGAGATACGGAAGGCGAGGAGATGCGGAGGGCAAGAGGAAGGCCAGATGTGCTTTCAAAGCGCCTCAAAAAGCGACTGGCTCTCCAGTGTGATCGTTGCTGCTGCCACATCTGCGGCCTGTGGAGATGCGGCGGGCAGAGGCGGAGGTCAGATGCGAGGCACGAGGGGGAGGGGACAGGCGAGGTGAGACGAGAGACGTGGTACCAGAAGCAGGGAAGGTCAGCGTGGAGAGGGGAGGAAGGAGGAATCAGAGGAGGAGAGCAGGCTTTCACAAATACAGGCAGTGATGAAAGGTCCGGTGAACTCTTGTTCTCACACTGCAGCTGCTCCTCTCACCTGCAGCTGCTCTCACCTGCAGCTGTTTGAAATCTTCGCTCCACGTTTCCACGCGCCCTCCGCTGCCCCGAACACTCTCCTTGGGCTGCCCGGGAAGAAATTCCTGTTCCTCCGCAAAGGAGCCCACCAGCAGCGCCGCCAGCACCGCCACAACCACCGCGAGCTTCCCCATGGTGTTCGCGACTCGCGAACGAGAACGCAGTTGTTACGGACAAGAACGCGCCGAAAACCCGCACGACGAGAGAAGACGTTCAAAGCGAATGGAAGAAAGAAGAGAACACGAGGCCGACCGTGAAGCAGCTTCAGGACGATGCGAGACGTCTTATGCTCGCTCCCTCCCTCCCTCCCTCCGTCCGTCGGTCTTTGTCTTTCAGTCAATCGGCAGCGCGACGAGCAGCAGCCGGTAGCGCGGGAGGGAGAGAGCGACGGCGACTCGTCGCTGCTGTGCTCGAGGCGCCATTGGTTGTCGCTGGAGCGCCGCGAAGGACGTCCGAGTCGCGCCAGCCCGCCTCTGCTTGCCGCGTCGCCTTTCCTCCCCCCCTCTCAAATGTCAGGGCTCGCCGGTAACTGCCTCGGTCCTCCTCCTGCCTCAATCTCAGGACTAAGCATGAACCCATCATCTTAGCGTGCCGCCATATGGCGAGTCGGCGAGGATGCTGAATCGGCTCGCGTGAGGTGAGAGTCATGCTACGCGTGCCGCGCGGCGAACGTGTCGCAGAAGCTGACTCTCACCCCACAAGAACCGTACCTCTTCTGCAACACGTGCCGCGGCGAACGTGTCGCGTCAGCTGAGGCTCGAAAGGTTCAATACAGTCGCTCGCACGTGTGGAGCACGATGAGGGGAAACCTCGCGTTTAACGGGCCAATGGAATCGGCGGTTCGTGATCGAATGAATGCACGTGGTTCCCCCCTACCACCGCGACTCACGCCGCGACGACTGCATGGGAGCCAGGCTGGCTCGAATCGAGACCCTCTCGCGTGGGAGGTTGAGAAATGTAAAAATGGTAATCGGCGCGTAGTGGGGCCCACGCACACGTCTCAGCGGACCCATGAAAGCCGTCTCGATGGCGGCTCGAGGGTAACTAGTTTCGGCATGGCCGCCATGGCGCTCGGAAAGCACACTGAAGGATGATTGCATGGCGGCCTGCTGGCTTGGCGGGACGACTCGGCGTGGTCTCGGCTAGGTCGAACAGAACAGAGACCCTCGCATAGTTCGCGTGGAGGTGAGGACGAGAAAGGAATACGCTCCGTGTCAGGCTCTCATGCGAGCATGGAGAATAGTAGTGGAGGCTCACAACGAATTCGGCTTGTAATGGCGGGTCGTGACTCGTGAGAATGGTTCATACGGTAACGTCAGACGGACACGCACTGTATGTAGGCTGGAATGGAAGCCAGAGAACGAATCCCCCCCATGCAACGGACAAAAACCTGGGAGCCCAGCATAGCAGCCTCGGCAATCCAGAGCGAATGGGTGCGGCGCGGCGAGCGCTGGTGAGGGAGTGTACGGTTGCGGTGCTCCGTGGTCATGGATTTGGGCATTCGGGAATCGATAGTAGCATGATACGTTTGCATACACAAGAACCTGTGTATTACTACATCGGTTCCGGACTAAATCGAATCTCAAATCTCAAATCTCAAGCACTTGCAAATCTCAAATCTCACTATGCAAGCACTTTCAAATCTCAAATCCTTCACAAAAATACGTCGCCATGGTTTTATTAAAAGGATTTTGCGGTAACTTACAAGACTGTATCCAGCACGAAAAAAAAAGGACAAAAGTTAGTAGCAGTTACCGGGCCTCAAGAGAGACGGGCCCCAAAAGTTCACGCGAGTCTTGGAAGTTTGAATGGGTGAGATGACAGGAGGGGTGGCGTGGCGCCCGCGGCCGGGTCAAGCTCCATGGCTCCTCGAGGCGGGGAGGGGAGTCTCTTGGGGTTGGCCTCATTGCCTTTTTGAGTCGACTAAAAAATCAATTCACGCGAGTCTTGAAGTGGTAATGGGTGACATGACAGGAGGGATGGCGGCCGGGTCAAGCTCCATGGCTCCTCGAGGCGGGGAGGGGAGTCCCTTGGAGTTGGCTTCGTTGCCCTTGCAGACGTAGGTGGGCACGAGGTGAGAGAAGACCGTCACATCCACTGCCAGACACTCACTCGTGCGCTGCCATGGGCACAATGGGATGGGAAGCAACAAAGAGGAGCTTTAAAATTTGCCACGACGGGGAGGGGGGGGAGTCCCTTGGAGTTGGCCTTGTTGCCCTTGCAGATATACGTGGGGACGAGGTGAGAGAAGACGGTGACGTCCACTGCCAGACACTCACTAGTGCGCTGCCATGGGTACATTGGGATGGGAAGCAACAAAGACGGGCTTTAAAGTTTGCCATGTGAGGAGGGGAGTCCCTTTGAGTTGGCCTCGTTGCCGTTGCAGACGTATGTCGGCACGAGGTGAGAGAAGACTGTTACATCCACTGCCAGACACTCACTCGTGCGCTGCCATGGGCACAGCCGGATGGGAGGCAACAACGAGGGGCTTTAGAATTTGCCACGAGGGGGAGGGGAGGGAGTCTCTTAGGGCCGGCCTCGTTGCCCTTGCAGATACACGTGGGGACGAGGTGAGAGAAAACTGTCACATCCACTGCCAGACACTCATTTGTGCGCTGCCATGGGCACATTGGGATGGGAAGCAACAAAGAGGGGCTTTATTTTTTTCCACGAGAGGGGGGGAAGGGAGTCCCTTGGAGTTGGCCTCGTTGCCGTTGCAGATGTACGTCGGCACGAGGTGAGAGAAGACTGTCACGTCCACTGCCAGGCACTCACTCGTGCGCTGCCATGGCACAAGACAGGATGCAGCAAATAGGGGCTTAGGTAGGGTACTGTAATGTTGCTTATTTGAAATTACCAAACTCGGGCTAGAGGCAAAAAGGTCGAAGAGACTGGCACGTGGGAAGGGGATGGGAAGCCATGGCTTCAAGCATTCAACACGACTGCAAAAATATTGCAGCAGCAGCATGGGCAGCAGCAGCAGCATGGGCAGCAGCAGCAGCAGCAGCAGCAGCAGGGGCAGCAGCAGGGGCAGAAGCAGGGGCAGCAGCAGCAGCAACAGTGGCAGCAGCAGGGGCAGCAGGGGCAGCAGCAGGGGCAGCAGGGGCAGCAGCAGGGGCAGCAGCAGGGGCAGCAGTTGAAATCCGCAACAGAGAGGTAGGAGGCAGGTCAGGGAAATTACCTGGAAGATGCTCGTGTATCCTTGCATGCGGCGCAGCAGCCACACCACCACCTGCCCTCTCACCCCATCCTCCGGCCTCTCAGGCAACCCCATCAACCCTGCCGCTCCCACCACCGCTGCCAACCCCCCCTTCACCTCCCCTTCCCGAGCCACCTGCACAATATCATACCTCTCCAACCCCTCCCCCGACCCTACCCCCGAACCTCCCCCCGAACCTGTCCCGTTCCGCCGCTGCTGCAGCAGCACCCGGTCAGTAAACACCGCCCAGACCTGCCCCGGCTGCGGGAAAACAGCCAGGGGAAAGTTCGGGTGAAGATTCACCCCCGGCATGCGGAAGGCAAAGACATTGATGCTGTCCATTGTCTTGGCTCGGGTTACCAGGCGGAACCACCCGCACGGGGGCACGAGGGAGGAGGAGGCGGAGCGGCGGGAGGAGGAGGGGAGGGGCGTGAGCCACTGCAGGCGGCACTTGAAGGCGGGGCGGTGGGAGACCTTGTGGACCAATGCGTAGAAACGGGGGAGACCGTCCCGATCGTCATACAGCGCCCACACCTGGGTGTGGGGGGGAGGGGGAAAGAGAGGGCGCAGGAGAAGGTGGGGGGCAGGAAAAGGGGTGAGGCGGTGCGAGACCTTGTGCACGAGCGCGTAGAAACGAGGCAGGCCGTCCCGATCGTCATACAGCGCCCACACCTGGTGAAGGGGTGCGGTTGGGGGAAGGGGGGAAAGGGAGGAGGTGGGGGGAGGGCGCAGGGAGTAGGAAGGACGTATGGGTTTTGAGAACAGGATCAATGACAGAGGGGGAAGAGGAAGGAAGGGGGAGGGGAGGAGAGAGGGCGAGTAAGCGGAGGAATGGGTAAATGGGAGAGAGGGAGGGAAGGAAGGATGTGGGGGGGCAGCTGTTTACGTAACTCCCATTATCCACACAAGCACGTACCTGCCCTTCTTGCACGTACCTGCCCTTCTTGCACGTACCTGCCCTTCTTGCACGTACCTGCCCTTCTTGCACGTACCTGCCCTTCTTGCACGTACCTGCCCTTCTTGCACGTACCTGCCCTTCTTGCACGTACCTGCCCTTCTTGCACGTACCTGCCCTTCTTGCACGTACCTGCCCTTCTTGCACGTACCTGCCCTTCTTGCACGTACCTGCCCTTCTTGCACGTACCTGCCCTTCTTGCACGTACCTGCCCTTCTTGCACGTACCTGCCCTTCTTGCACGTACCTGCCCTTCTTGCACGTACCTGCCCCTCTTGCACGTACCTGCCCTTCTTGCACGTACCTGCCCTTCTTGCACGTACCTGCCCTTCTTGCACGCTCTCCTCCTCCCTGTCATTGTCAAAGCAGTAGAAGTCCGGATCCGCCACTTCCATTCCCTCCTCCTCCCCATCCTCATCCCCCTCCGACTTCTCCTCTTTCTGCCGGCTCTTCTCACCCACCAACCCATTCACACCATTAGCAGCACCCCTGGCAGCAGCAGTCGTCCCCCCGCCCTCCCCACTGGCCTCCTTGCTCCTCACCGCAGCAGCAGCAGCCGCAGCTGCAGCTGGTGCCGCAGGGTCGAACACAGTCGCCCGACCATTCCGAACCGCAGTTGCAGCTGTAGCATTATAGCGGTTACCAGCAGTAACAGCCGGTGCAGGAGCATGCGCAGAAGCAGGAGCAGGAGCAGGAGCAGGAGCAGGAGCAGAGGAGAAAACAGGGTTCGCCCCCTGGGCCGTGTTCCCCATGACTTCAAAGAGGGACGCCTGTCGCAGGGACTGAGCGGCCGCCCTTGTGTCTCTGCCAGAGAAGGCAGTCGTGGCAGTGGTACCCGCTGCACCAGGGAAATCTGTAGCAGCACGCCCCCTGCTCGCTACAGCTGCTGGTGCCACGACCGCGCCTGATACTACCTCCGCTGTCACACCTGCTGCTGCATCCGCCACCACCTCCACTGTAACCTCCGCTGCTGCTGCTCCCCCTGGTGGTGGTGGTGCTGCTGCTGCTGCCCCTGCTGATGTTGCCCCTGCTGCTGTGCCTGCCACCCCGCCTACCTCCACCACATCAACCTCCATTTCAGAAGGCTCATCTGAATCCAGATTGATAACCGTCGCCTGCTCCTCCTCCCTGCGGGTCCTCTTCGCCTGTCGCCCCGCTTCCCCCATCTCCTCCTCCGCCTCGTACCCTCCGCGTTCCCCCACCCCATCCATGCCGCCCGTCCCAAGAGCAGCGCGCGCAGCAGCCATGGCGGCATTCACGGCGGCAGACATGTCGCCTAGAAGCACATCCTCCTTCCCCCTCTGTCTCTTCCTCGTGCTCCGCCCGTCTCCTCCCGCCTCACCTCCTCCCGCTTCTCCCGCCCCGCCTGCCCCGCCCGCCCCTGCACCAGGTGCGCCCATTCCCTCTCCTCCCGCCGCCTCACCCGCCATTCCCTTCGCCTGCCCGCCTCCGCCTTCCCTCCCCGCGCCCGCCCCCATCGCCGCCACAGCCGCCGCAGCAACCGCCGCCGCCTTCTCAGCAGCAGCCGCCTTTTTCCTCTCCCTCTCCGCCTCCCTACCCGCCTTCGCCACGCGCTTCCGCTCCGCCACCTCCGCCTCCTTCCGCTCGCGGTCCTTCCGCCGCCCCTCCGCCTGCTCGTCCATTCGTTCCCGCTGCACCTTGCCCCACACGTCGTTCACAAACGCCTGGCGGAACCCCGTCGCCGCGGGTCCTGGCGAGCAGAACCGCTCGAAGAGGCTGCCCTGCGCCTGCGCCTGCGCCTGCTGCGCGTGAGACGGCTGCTCGAAGGGTTGGGAAGGGTGCGGGGCGGTGTGGTCTGGTGTGGGGCTAGCCGGAGCTTGGGAGAACGGGTTGTGATAATGCTGGTACTGCTGTTGCTGTGCCTGCTGCTGCTGCTGCTGCTGCGACTGCCCGGGTTGTTGCGGCTGTGGCTGTGGCTGCTGCGGCTGCGGCGGCTGCCGCGGTTGCTGCTGGTTCGAGCCTGCCGGCTGCCCTCCGAACGAGGCTGGGGGCTGCGGGAACGAAGGCACGCCGAACGCAGGAATCCCGGCCGCGTTTCCTGTGCCACCACCACCCGCACCACCTGCTGCTGCAGCGGTGGCGGCAGCGGCGGCGGCGAAAGCAGCAGCGGAAGAGAAGCCATTGGGCGCGTGGGGCGGGTGCGCGGGTTGCGACGGGTGCTGCCATCGATCCGCGGGCCCCCCGCGCCCCATCATGCCGGCGGCGCAGAACTGTGCGTGCATGTTCTTCATGAAACCCGCGCGCTCGCTCTCCGTCATGTTTTTCATGAAACTTGCGCGCTCGCTCTCCGTCTGCGGCACCGCCGCGCCCTGCTGCCCGCCCGCCTGCGGTTGCCACCATGGTTGTTGATATTGCTGCTGCTGCTGCTGCTGTTGCTGGGGCTGCGGTTGCGGCTGCGGTTGTTGCTGGGGTGGCGGCGGTGGTGGTTGTTGCGGTTGAGGTGGCGGCGGCTGGGGAGCCGGCCGCAGTGGCACCGGCTGCTGCCGCTGCTGCGGCTGCTGCTGCTGTTGCTGCTGCTGCGGCTGCTGCTGCTGTTGCTGCTGCTGCGGCTGCTGCTGCTGTTGCTGCTGCTGCTGCTGCTGCTGTTGCTGCTGCTGCTGCTGCTGCTGTCTCTGCTGCTGCCGCTGTTGATGCCGCTGCTGCCGCTGCTGCTGATCCTGCTGTTTCTGCTGCCCTCGGCCCTTACCACCAGCGGGAGCACCATTAGCAGCAGCCGGTTTCGCCTTGGCGGGAGGATCGACTTCAAGAGCGAGAAACATCTTTTCGCACAGCAGGCACTTCACGATCTGCCCGCGGGAGTCCTGCTTGCACAGCAGACTCGCGCAGCAATGGTGGCACCGCGTGTAAAACTGCGGAGCTGTCGCTCCGCCCGCCGCTGCGCCAGCTTTTGCGCCGGTGCTTCCCCCTCTCGCTCCATGCCCCCGACCGCTCCCCCCATGCTGCCGATTTGCCGCGGCGTGCTGCCGACTCGCGGCGGCGGCTGCGCCGGCGGCGGAGTGGTGCCCGCCGCGCGCTCCGATGGCTGCTCTGGCTCGCTTTCTTAGATCGAACTGCGACTTCTTGACCTTGTCGGACAGGCAACCGAACGCCTCTGAAACGTACTTAAACGCGGTCTCCGCCCCCGCGCCTTTGTTCTTATCGGGATGCAGAAGCAACGCTTTCTTTCGATACGACTTCTTTATCAACGCGTCGTCGTCGCAGAAATCGGGGACGTCTAAAACGAGGTACCAGTCCACCTCGCCTTGACCGACACCGGGTAACCGCTTCGCGACGGCTTCGTGAACGTCGAGAACGGCCTGCATCTGCGAAAGGCCGTCGAGCGACTCGAACATGCGACGGGCCTTCTCCCAGAATCGCCGGGCTCCAGCGACGTCGCCGGCCAATAGCTTCGTCTCGGCGAGGCCTTTCGCCTTCTGTGCTTCGTCTTTGTTCCCCTCCATGGCCGATCCCACATTATCGGGCGGGCCTATCTGATTGGCTCGCAATCGTATCGCAACTGCGGTGGGAGCTGCATCGACCAGCCGGCCACCGTACACAACCGGTCAGGCCTACCTCACACTAGGAAGGCCATCGCGAAACGTCATCGTCGAAAGAATCCGGCCGACAGCAGCACACCAGCTCAAGTAGAGCTCGAAGGAGACGACGAGACGGATCCACTCGTAGATCAACACCTGCGGTACTGGAAAGTCGTTTTCGCTCAGCTTCACAGGCGACAGGAGGTGATGGAGGGATGGCGACTAACGTTCCTCACGCAAACACCTGTGCTTGCTTACTGATACTCGAAGAGTGAATGCAAGCTTACGACCATGGAAGAAAGAGCAGTCACGAGGTTACGCCTCCTGAGTTACGAAGCGATCACACCAGACCAGAGAGGGCAGGGCAGGGAGGGAGGCAGGCACAGACGACCCCTAGAGCCCTGGATTCCAACTTGGTAATCCGAATTTGACGACTCAAATCTAATCTGTTCGCCTAGGGTTTGCCTCGGCGTGTCAGACGAGCGCGAAACACACTTTGCCACTATCGAAATGGACGCTCGTTATATCGGGGTCGTGCTTGTACGGGAGCTGAACGGGTGGTTGGAATTAGTGGGACCACAAACTGGTGGCTGGCTTGAGAGGGTTTTGGGCATGAGAGACAAAAGGCAAAGCACCACTTATTTTCCTAGCGGTAGAAGAAAAACCCAACCTCATTAGTAGCACACAGGCTGAACAGCTACCAAAACACCAAATTCACACAGAATGTCATCCCTCCCTGCTAAGTAAATTAGTAGCTAAAAAGCGGTCAGATAACGCCAGAGACAAACTTCTTAATAACCAAAATGTACACAGATCATATCAACTCAACAATCAGCCAAGACAAAGCAGCCGCATTAGCATAAGAAACACACTTCACACTTAACCTCCCCTCAACCAATCCCCCAGCCGCTGGCTAATCTTCTCACACCACTGTTCCCTTGCGGCGCGATCAGAACCGTTGATGTCATATCGAGGTGAATCTTGTGGCAGGTGGTGAGGGGGATGTGGTGAGGTTCCACATGCTTCCATGCCGCATCCACTGTGGAGCAGCTTGCAGGGAGAATGTCTCGACACGCATACAGAATGGCGTCCCTGAATATGGTAGGCTTTTCCAAAAATAGCATGTGGCCAACCTGGAGATTAACACAAGGGTATGGTGGAGACGAGAGACGAAAATGGCAGGTTGAGTGTTAGGAGGCATGTACAGGAGCCAGGGACTTGAACACAAACATCTGCCATGTGATGTACTTTCTGAAGGGTGTATCGCTTGCGTGTCTTGGTGTCTGGGTTTACTGGTTTCATACAACCAGAACGGCACTGAGGACACAGAGATACACACACACGCATACCTCTCGCACGTTGAACACCTCTGCCGGCACGGGCATCTGCTTGGCCCCGCCTGGTGGTGGGAGCCTTCACCGCACTGCACCGTTATGCACTAATTGCCAAGGCACAAGGACACGGGAGCACACTGACATGTGCACGCACCTCTCGCACGTGGAACACCTCTGCCGGTACGGGCATCTGCTTGGCCGCTGCCAGCCCTGCCCGATGGTGGGCGCATTCCAGTGCACCGCGCTGCACCGTTATGTTCCGCACTTTTTTTTTTTTTTTGGCTTGTCCGGCTCCGCCGGAACCCCGGGCCAGGTATATGCCTGGACCGTTATATGCCTGCACACACACACGCACACACGCACGTACCTCTCGCACGTTGAAGACCTCGGCCGGCACGGGCATCTGCTTGGCCGCTGCCAGCCCCGCCCGATGGTCCATGATGTCCTGCTCCCCGTAGATGAACGTTGTGGGCGCCTTCCAGTGCACCGCACTGCACCGTGGTGTACCGATGCACAGACCCATCCACAAGCACACAGGAGCACACATGAGCAAGCGTGCAAACAGCCATGCCATCAGAGAGGGGGAAAGAGGTCGTGAGACGTGTCCGAGCTTTGCGGATGGCTAAGTTTGCAGCGGTAGACTGGTGTGCACTCATACAGTCCAGAGCACTTTCGAAAGGTGAAGCACAGCAACAAGCATGGATATAGAAAGCAAATGGCTACTGCAAATGTTCACGCCCCCCCTGAGGCTTCAGCTTCAGCTTCAGCTTCAGAAGATAGATTATCTTTTCGAAGCTAATTCTTACAGCAAACAGCCCACAGCCAGCACAGAGGGCCCCTGTCGTGCCACAAACGCCTCCTTCTCTCTACCCTCACCTGTCTATGAGTGGGCGGCGAGCAAAGGCCCCGAGGGAGAAGATGAACTTCATGCACTGCTCGCCACTCATGGGCGCTGATAGCGTCTGGTATATGTAGTCTGGTGGGGGGGAGGGGGAGAGGGGGAGGGAGAGAGGAGAATAACCGCACAAGCGGGAAAGGCGTGAGTAGGGTTGAGCAAAAAAACGAACACCTGTTCGGTTCGCCTCGAACAACAGGTATTTTTTTTTTTGGCTTAAAATGTTCGCCGAACAGTGTTCGATGTTCGCCCGAACACGTTCGTGTTCGGGCCGCTGCTGCAATTTGCCCGCCACGAACACGAACGTGTTCGAGGTTCGCCCGAACACGCCTTCACAGGCGAACGGCGAACACCATTTTTTGCTCAAAGTGTTCGCCGAACCGAACAGTGTTCGGTTCGGCAAACGAAGGTGTTCGTGTAGGGGCGAACACGAACACGTTCGTGTTCGCCACTTGCTCATCCCTAGGCGTGAGGAGCTGTTGCACTGCTCGCCACTCACGGGCGCTGAAAGCGTCTGGTATATGTAGTCTGGGCAGGGGGGAGGGGAGGGGTATGGGGAGAGAGAGAGGGGGAAAAACAGCGATAAATGAGGGAAAGGTGTGAGGGAAGGGCATCGACTGGTGCACTGCTCTCCGCTCATGGACGCTGGTAGCATCTGGTATATGTAGTTTGGCGGGGAAGGGAAGAGCAGGGGATGAGAGCGGGGGAGGAAAGCAGCACATTGGATGCACGTCAATGCAGGTTCACCCACCCTCTTGCCACAAACGAGAGCCGATAAAATATTAATGCTTCTCACCCTATATACCACACAAGGCACCAACCAGCAGGAGAGGCACGTTCTCTTAAAATAAAAGACTGTTCTATTTTCAAGAAGGGCAATGCGAGGATGTATCTTAGAGCGTACCACAGAAGGCGTCCACTTGCTCGGGGGTCATGTTTTCTTGCGGTGGTGGCAGGTCAGACCACCGCTGTGTTGTGGCGCCCTTCACTATGTCCCGACTCCATGGTCCCAGCCACCTGCCAATGGCAGGGGAAGGGATGGGAGGGGAGGCGAGGGGAGGGGAGGGGAGGGGAGGGAGGGAGGAAGAAAAGGCAGGCAGATTTTCAGTGGCAGTTCAGACCACCGCTGTGTTGTGGCGCTCTTCACTATGTCCCGACTCCATGGTCCCAGCCACCTGTGGGGGAACGGGGAGGAGAAGGGTGACTTTTAGCCAACTAAGAAATCTTCACAGTGGCTCAACTCCATACACCCAGCCACCTGGCACTGATGGCCACGGTGGATGGGTGGGAACAAGGTGAAAATCTTGATTGCTTTTCAGAATCTCTCTCAAAAAATGAAAAGATGAAGAAAAAAGTATCGAAGGGTGGGGGGACGGGAGGGGAAGAGGGGTGTGGGGGTGGTGGTGTTGCAGTGTACCGAATGAACTGCTGCGGCGGGATGTTGGTGTCCCAGTAGCACTGAAAGGCAAAGCCCTTCCACGTGGAGCGGAAGTGCTGCATCTTGGCTGACTCGTGGCTGAAGCCAGCTGGGCCCACCAGTATTAGATGGCGCACCCGCGATGGGTACTGTTGGGGGGGGCGGTAGGGAGGGAAGTCAGAATGGGGGAGGGATTGAGGAATGAGAGGTGAATGAGAGGTAGTCACATCACATCTGATAGTAGCCAACCAGGTGGAGCGGAAGTGCTGCATCTTGGCTGACTCGTGGCTGAAGCCAGCTGGGCCCACCAGTATTAGATGGCGCACTCGCGAGGGGTACTGCAGTAGGGGATGCAGGGAGGGGAGGTGGAGGCAAGATGAGGGAGACAGGGACGCGGAGGCAGCATAGGGAGGGAGGGAGGAATGAGGGGTAGTCACATGGCACACCCGTGAGGGTACTGCAGTAGGGGTGGCAGGGATGGGGAGGCATGGACGGGAGGCAGCATGGGGGAAGGGAGGGGTTGGAGGATGGAGGAGGTGGCAGCAGGCAGGAAGCATTGAAGGTCAGCATGGGGAGGGGGGTTGGGAGCATGGAGGCAGGCAATGCGGAACGAGAGGTAGTGAAGAGCTGTTCACAGCCAGCCAGTGTCATGTGCCACACCCTTTTTTGAGGCACCTCAAAAGTCGTCTAATGAGGAACGAGAGGGAGTGAAGAGCTGTTCATAGCCACCACCCAGTGTCATGTGCCACACCCTGGCGCTACCACGTGGCTGGCTGGCGCGCAGCACCGGATTCGCCAACCTGAAGAGCCCTGAAGAGCCCTGAAGAGACCTGAAGAGACCTGAAGAGACCTGAAGAGCCCTGAAGAGACCTGAAGAGGCCTGAAGAGACCTGAAGAGCCCTGAAGAGCCCTGAAGAGGCCTGAAGAGCCCTGAAGAGCCCTGAAGAGGCCTGAAGAGCCCTGAAGAGGCCTGAAGAGCCCTGAAGAGCCCTGAAGAGACCTGAAGAGCCCTGAAGAGACCTGAAGAGCCCTGAAGAGACCTGAAGAGCCCTCCGTCCCAGCATCAGCACCACCTGTGTAAGCGCCCACCTTGAGCACCCTCCACTCCACCCCACCCCTTCAGCCCCCTCCGCCCCACCTTGAGCGCGTATCTTGAGGCCACGAAGCCCCCAAAGGAGTGGCCGAGCAGCACGAAGCGCCGCAGCCCCATCTCCTTCCGCCACGCCTCCAACGCCTCCACGAACCACGTTTCCGCCTCTGCACGCACACAGGGGGGTGAGGTGGGGTGGGGGGGAGCAAGGGGGGTGTGCGGGGGGAGTGAGGGGGGAGTGAGGAGTGTGAGGCGCCGCAGCCCCATCTCCCTCCGCCACGCCTCCAACGCCTCCACGAACCATGTCTCCGCCTCTGGTTGCGCGCGCAGGGGGGGGTGAGGGGGGGGAGTGAGGGGGGAGTGAGGGGTAGTGAGGAGGGGAATGAAGGGGGGAGTGAGAAGGAAGAGAGGGCGGAAGTGTGTGGGGAAACGAGAATGGGACTGATGGGGGTCTGCCGGGCGAGTGAGAGGGGAGTGGGGGGCGAGTGAGGGGGAGTGAGGGGAGAGTGAGGGGTGCGACTGAGCGTGGCACGAACCAACGCAAGTGCGTGTCGATGTGTGGCAGGCTGGCAGCCAATAAATCAAGAGGAGAAGAGTGCAAAACGAGCAGCTCACACGAACGCAAACGATCTGACGTGTCTCATCTACGAAGCGCCTCGACGAACAGTTTGGACGCAGAAGGACGAGAAAAGCTGCGCCTTACTGATATTGTACCTTCCGGAGAAGCGGGTGTGAATGTGGGGCGACTGGATGCTCCCCACCTGCCATGCCATGCCATGCAGCCACACGGGAATGGGAGAGGTGTTTTGATTGCATTGATTGCAACGCTCGTACCAACCAAGCAACAAGGGCTAGCTAGCGACAGCACATGCTTGATCCTTCGCCACTGCCTTGCTCCATCCCACTCCTCCCCGTACCACGCACAACGCCCATCCCTGCACATTACTCACTGTTTCCCTTCTTGCCTACGCACGTCCAACGTACATTCTCTCTTCCGCTTCATCCTATCTGCTCCCCCTCTCTGCTCTCCGTGTCTGCTCCCCGCTCTCCTCCCTCTCTCTGCTCCCCCTCTCCCCCCCGTTTCCCCTCCCTAACCACACGCAAAACGCTTCCTTCCACGCACAGCTGATCAATTCTTCCCGTGAGGCACGCACCCACCCGAGCTGGTCGAGGGAGTAGACGTTGAAGTGCTCCGCGAGCGCGTCATAGTTGCGAAAGAAGGGACCCACCCACACACAAACTCTTCCCCGCACGCACAGCTGGCCACTTCCTACCGTGAGGCACGCTCTCCCTGTGAGACACGCTCTCCCCGTGAGCCACGCACCCGAGCTGGTCGATGGAGTAGACGTTGAAGTGCTCTGCCAGCGCGTCGTAGTTACGAAAGAAGAACCCCAGCGCCGCGGCGTACCCGTGGATCATCACCAGGTTCGGCTTCCCGTTCACCTCCTCCTCTCTGTTCCCCCTCTCTGTTCCCCTTCTCTGCTCCCCCTCTCTCCCCTTCATCCCCGCTCCCTAACAAACTCACGCACAGCTGGCCACTTCCTCCCGTGAGCCACGCAGCCGAGTTGGTCAAACCCAACGCACCCGAGCTGGTCGATGGAGTAGACGTTGAAGTGCTCGGCGAGGGCATCATAGTTGCGGAAGAAGAACCCCAACGCGGCGGCGTACCCGTGGATCATCACCAGGTTCGGCTTCCCGTTCACCTCCTCTTCGTCGCCGCGCCCGTCGCCGCGGCACGTCGTCGCCCCCACCACCAGCGTGTTGATGAAGCAGTTCTCCGCCGTGTCGCCGTCACCTCCGCCGCCGCTTCCGCCGCCGCCGCCGCCGCTTCCGCCGTCGGTGTCCGCCGCCTTCTGCCAGCCCCACGACAGCGTGTCTTCCAGCGGGTTGTCTGACGGCCAGACGGTGGCTTTCTTGCGGACGGCCGGCGGGTGGCCGATGTCGATTTGGATCACGCGATGCGGGGTCCTGCGCGACGCGGGGTTGCGCATGACGGCGAAAAAGAAGGGGAAGAATGGAAGTACGCTTAGAAAAACCCATTTGATTTTACTACTCTCGGTAACCATGTGCACTTTAGTAAAGCAGGAATACCGTGTGGTTGAAGCAGCTATGGCGGACGGCCTGCAGAGAACATGTCTCGCTCAACATGCCACGAGAGACTGAAGGAACGCGTCATGCCTCGCTTCTAATGCCAGTGACCGAGCTGATATTCACACCTACCTAACGAGAACCTGGATTTCGCACCTAACGAACGAGAGCAGTCGGCATTCGCACGAGCGCAGCTCGAGATCGCTGGCGGGGCACCAGCGGAGCATGTTGAACGCCCAGTCCAGCGCGCCCAGCCCCACTGGCAGCGGATCGTCGTCGCCGTTATCGTTACCGTCTGCCGCCTCGTTCGCGTAGCCCTGCCGGTAAGTCTGTAGCTGCTGCTGCTGTTGATCGTAGTGATGGTGATGGTGGTGGTGGTGATGATGGTGGTGATGGTGCTTTTTCGACGTGCTAACGGGTAGCACGTCGAGCTCTCGAAGCTCTTGCTTGCAGTGCTGTTTCGGCCGGTGAAGTACCATCTGTAACCCTGGTACGCCCGCTGTCTATTCTAGCAGCTCGGGATATATCTGTCCCTTCTATGCAAAAGAGGTCGGCACTGGATAAATTCCCGAGACTGATGGAACGCTTTGTGGTCACTGTCGGGACGATAAAGAACGTCGTTATCGTCGTTGACGGTGACTGGGAGGCTGGGAACGGCTAGTCCGAGTGCGAAGAGGATCCCGCCTTCGGCGCCAGCACAGTACCGTGTCTAATTCAAGGCGGAATGCAATCACACGGAAAAAATGGCGGACGAGAGGCAGGTGAGTTAAGAATCTCAAGACTACCCCGCAACCGCAACCCCACCCTCGAGACTGGCTGGACTATCTTTCTATCGTAAGTGTTGTATTGGACGTTGTCCTGAAATGCAGAAGGAATTGGAACCACAAACAGCAAACTAGGAACTATCGAGGGCTGTTGGCAGGCTGGCGAAGGGAACCAAGGAGAGGAAGGTTCAGGTCCGGGAATCGACGGACAAGAGGGGTCCAAGAAACTGACGGGGCAGAAAGTTCCGTCCGTCTGCTTCTGCACGTGAGCCTTGTCGTTGAGGCACGGGAGTCGATTGGTTACGTGTTTCGCAATGGTGTCGCAGGATCTCGTCAGCTGGGGAGTAGTGGAAGGCGCTGCTTGCCGTGTGCTTGGTGTGCGGCTGACATCGCTCAAGGTGTAGCCGTTTTGACGGTCGCTTGCAGACCTGACACGCCGCGCCCCAGCCAGCAACACACCTCCGCTGAGGTGGCTCGGCTCGAATAAGATTGGCTGGCGCCCCAAACCGACCAATGCAACCGCCATTCTGGTTGCCTCGATAACGAGTGGGTACCTCACGACAAGCAGGGCCGCCGAGACTGGCGCAGCAACGATCACATATGGAGGTACACTTAGAAAAATTACACCTTCGGAACTTGCTCTTACTAAGTGAAACGGGTGGTAATGATTCGATGAACTTGAATTTTAGCAAATGGTCTTTAACCAAAATAATCTACAGATGCATATTAGTCATACTAGTTACGTGAAAACACCATCCCTCCCTTCGTCACAGCTCGCTCGATCTTCTGATGGCACAAAGGGCACTGCTTCTTCCGCGACACAAGCAGCGACGCACACTGCTCGCACGTAACATTGTGCGAGCACGGCTGAACAGTCGTGTTACGCGGATGCTCATGGCAAATCAGGCACTTCGCCATAGGAAACGATGGCCTGGGTGAGCCACCAGCACCGTGCTCACCATTCTCTGCCAAACCCGACGAGGGCGGAGAAGCAGACTTGAACGGCCCAGCATGCGGCTTCCCCTGGCTCTTCCATTGCTCGGCGAGGTCTATGAGAGGGACCAGCGATCCAAGGACTTGCGTCATCGTTGGCCGGAAGGACGGCTCGGATTGCACGCACACTGCCGCAACAGTGGCCAGGTGGTGGAAGCTGGTTGGTGGAAAGCGGTTCCGAAATGCCGGGTCGGCAATGGCGAGTGTCTCATCCCTGCCGATGAGCGGCACAGCCTGGTGTGACAAAAGGGGGTGGAGACATGGGATTTTGTTTCTTTATTCATAAGCGAGAGTTTGCTTGGCGAGGTCGGCGATGGCGAGCCGCTCGTCCCTGTCGATGAGCGGCACGGCCTGGTGTGGTGGGGCTGGTGGGGAGAAATGCAAGCGAGATGGGTGAGGGAAATGGGTGCATGGGGACATAGTGAGTGAAGACGGTCTATGATGTATGGGTGGGGAGGGAGTGACAAGCATGGCATGAGAGTGGCATAATAAGGACATTATTGGAAGCGTGGGTGGGGGCAGGAGGGAAGCACAGGGCGCGTTTAGCAGCCTGTTGAATTAGCACACAAGTGAGGGAATGTAACCCGACTCAGAATCAGACCACAACAGAGTGGAAACTTTTCTTGAATGAATAGATCGGAACGCACTCATCAAGAAAGGTAAACACACCCAAGAGACAAGGGACTGTTCGTCGGGTCGCTTGGAGAGGTCGATGGGTCGCCGCCCCGTGATGAGCTCCAGCAGGATCACCCCAAAGCTGTACACGTCACTGCGCTGCGTGTTCACACCGAACAGCACCCCTCTGCACCGCACACAGCACACATGAAGCAGAAAAAGGACAGGTGCAGTTGGGACACGAATTAGGAAAAAGACCCAAAATAAAACTTCCACATCGGTATCCACACCCATGACTACCACACTCAAATCCTCCCAAATCACTCAATTCCTTCCCCCCCCTTCTTGTTGCAAGCACCTACTCTGGAGCGAGGTACCCGAACGTGCCGGTGGCTCTGCCGCCCCGCCTGGTGGGAAGAGCATCCTCCGCCAGGCGAGACAGACAATAGTCCGTGACCTGCACGGGGGAGTGGGGACAGGGGACAAGGGGAGAGGGATGGGGAGGGAAGAGGACACACATCGACGAGTGTGATACCTGAAGGCTCTGCCGCCCCGCTTGGTAGGAAGAGCGTCCTCTGCCAGGCGAGAGAGACAATAGTCCGTGACCTGCACGGGGGAGGCAGGGGGAGGGGAGGGGAGCAAGGGGGGGAGGAGGGGGAGGAGGAAAGGAAGAGGGGGAGGTGAGGAGGGGAAAGGGGAGAGGGAGACGCACACACCCACCGCCCACACGCACTGCCCACACCCATTGCCAGCATCCACTGCCCACACCCATTGCCAGCATCCACTGCCCACACCCATTGCCAGCATCCACTGCCCACACCCACTTTTGAGACGTCTCAGAACTGACCTTGGCGTTCCCCGAGTTATCAAGCAGCACGTTAGCGCTCTTGAGGTTCGCATGCACCGCCCGCACCCACCGCCGCCCATCCCTCACCACCACCTCCTCCTTCCCCCCACCGCCCTCCCCTTCACCCTCCTCCCCCTCTCCGCCCATCCCCATCCCACCAACACCGCCCCCCACGCCGCTCTCAAACTCCCCACTGCTGCTGTAGCTATCGCTGTCGCTCGGCCCATCCCGTTGACTCAAAGTCACAAGAAACTCCTCCTCCCCTTCCCCGTACCCCTCCCCCTCTCCCTCCCCTTCGAGGGGGCTCTCCTGCAGCGTGTCCAGCTTGTGGGGGGAACCACCAAGAGACGAGGGCAGGGAGCTGTGGGGGGAGGCAAAGGCACCATTGGGACCATCAGTATTACTCTGCAACGAGTCAGAGGAGGCGTTAGGGGGCGTGAGGCGGGCAGTGGAGTTGGAGCTGTAGCCGGGGTTTGTGGTGTAGGGTGAGGTGGATGAAGCTGATTGGCCGGTTGCTGCTGCTGGGTGGCCGTGGGACGGGTCCTGGGCGGCAGTGGCTTCATGGGGGTGGGCGAGGGGGGAGGCAGGGCCGATGGGCACGAGGCGCTGGTGCAGGCTCTGCAGGCCCCTCGCCACGGCAACTGCAATCTTCACCCTGTGCGCCCAGTCCAGACGCCCAGAGCCTGCCATGGCGTGGAGGGGCGGAGGGGCAGAGTAAGGGGTGTGTGAGATGGGTGCAGTGCAGGCTCTGCAGGCCTCTGGCTACCGCCGCCACGGCGATCTTCACCCTGTGCGCCCAATCCAGCCGACCTGAGCCTGCCATGGCGTGGAGGAGCAGAGGGACGGAAGAGGGGTGGGGAGGCAGGACAGGGGGTTAAAGATGGGTGCAAGCTCTGCAGGCCTCTGGCCACTGCCACGGCGATTTTCACCCTGTGCGCCCAGTCCAACCTCCCCGAGCCTGGCATGGAGTGGAGGAGCAGAGGGACGGAAGAGGGGGGGCGTGAGATGGGTGCAGGCTCTGCAGGCCCCTCGCCACGGCCACGGCGATCTCACCCTGTTGCTGTGGGTATGTGTGTGATGTGCTTGCCACCCTGTGCTGGTCGCCACTCTTCATGCTCACCAGCACAGGTGGAAAATACAGCCCCCCCACACAGCACAGACCCGAGCAGAACAGCACAGCACCCCACAGCACCGCAAAGCACCACACCGCACCACACCGCACGTATCATGCAGGTGGTCGTGCAGGCTGCCGTTGGGCACAAACTCATAAGCCAGCACGGCACTGACTCCGTCTGTGGAGTAGCCCAGCAGTGGCACCACATGCGGGCAGCTCAACACAGCACCGCACAGAACCGCACAGCACCCCACAGAACCACACCGCACGTACCGTGCAGGTGGTCGTGCAAGCTGCCATTGGGGACAAACTCATACGCCAGCACGGCACTGACTCCGTCCGTGGAGTAGCCCAGCAGTGGCACCACGTGGGGACAGCGCAACACAGCACCGCACAGAACCGCACAGCACCACAGCACAGCACAGCACGTACCGTGCAGGTGGTCGTGCAAGCTGCCATTGGGGACAAACTCATACGCCAGCACGGCACTGACTCCGTCCGTGGAGTAGCCCAGCAGTGGCACCACGTGGGGACAACGCAACACAGCACCGCACAGCACCACAGCACAGCACAGCACGTACCGTGCAGGTGGTCGTGCAAGCTGCCATTGGGGACAAACTCATACGCCAGCACGGCACTGACTCCGTCCGTGGAGTAGCCCAGCAGTGGCACCACGTGGGGACAACGCATGAGAGAGAACGCCTCCACCTGTGGGGGGTAGAGGGTGTGGGGAAGGGAAGGAGAGGGTGAGGGCGCGAAGAAGGAGTTTCGAGACCCAACACGTGGGCAGTGCACGAATAAGAGCCCTTCAACACGGCACTGACTCCGTCCGTGGAGTAACCCAGCAGCGGCACCACGTGGGGGCAGCGCATGAGAGAGAGCGCCTCCACCTGAAGGGGGTGGAAAGGGGTGGAGCGGGAAAGGGCACAGAGAAGAAGTGTTGAGACCCGTGACATAGGCAGTGCACGAGTGGGAGCACCTCAAGTCATACGCCAGCACGGCACTGACGCCCTCTGTGGAGTAGCCAAGCAGAGGCACCACGTGGGGGCAGCGCATGAGAGAGAGAGCGCCTCCACCTGCGTGGGTGGGGGAAGTAGGGAAGGCGTGGCGGAAGAGTGGAGAGGAATGGCCGATGTGGGGAAAGGGAGATTCGACCTACGAACAGGTCAAGCGTCAGCACGTTGGGCAGAGTGGCTTTGTACACGCACCCGAACACCCAAGCACAAGCCATGCAAGCACAACACAAAACACGCAAGGATAACACGAACCACAAGAGACAAACCACCCACCTGCTGCACGAACAGCTTCCTGGCAGATTCCCTGGACACCCCTGCTTGGCCTCCCCCTCTCCCACCTCCGGCGCCCCCCGCTCGCCCCACGTCTCCCCCAGCAACGAACAGGTCAAGCCTCTTGATAGCAAGCCTTAGTCCGTTGGGCAGAGTGGCTTTTTACACTCGCCCTAACGTGCCCATGGAAGCACAAGACATGCGAGCACAGCACAAAGCACGCAAGCACAACACGAACCACAAGAGACAAACCACCCACCTGCTGCACGAACAGCTTCCTGGCAGCTTCCCTGGACACCCCTGCTTGCCCACCCCCTCGCCCTCCTCCGGCGCCCCCCGCTCGCCCCACGTCTCCCCCAGCAACGAACAGGTCGAGCCTCTTGATAGCAAGCCTTAGTCCGTTGGGCAGAGTGGCTTTATACACGCGCCCGAACGTGCCCCTTCCCAGAAGGTTCTTCTCGCTGAAGCGGTGCGTGGCGGCCTCGATGGCCGTGTAGCTTATATCGAGTGCGCCTGCAGCGAGGATGGCTTCTGGGTCGGGGATGAGGCGAGCAAAGGCTGGGAGGTGAGCACGTGGGGATTGGAGGGTTGGGAGAGTGAGAAGAGGCCATGGGGAAAGCAGGAGGAAGGGAGGTTGGGATGTAAGAGATGCTGAGGGCTTCAATCGCGAGTAAGGGGTTGGGGATGTGGATAGGCTGAGATAAGGATGGCTGTGGAACAAGGAAAGATAAATGAGCAGGAACGAGGAGGAAGAAGTTAGGAGCAAAATGAGGGATGGGAGAAGAGGGAATACGGAAGGATGTAGAACATTGAAAGGTGTCTGAGTGGCACCTAAAAAGCTCACCCGGGGATAACATGTGCGGGACGAGAGCGTGATCTTTTAATACAACAGCTGTTTTGCCATCATAAGTCCGCATATGGTATCCTTGAGTTTACTCAAAATCCAACTCATCTAGGGGAAACGTACCTTTGCTTCCAAGCGCCTTGCGGAACCCATTCAGCTTCACCATCCCTCCATCCAACCCCTTCCCTCCAAACACCCGCAGATTCGCCGCGAACAGCTTCCCCCCACCCTTGCCGCCGCCGCTGCTCGCGCTGTCGCTCCTGCGGTGCTTCCTTCTGCCGCCACAGCAGGAGGATGGGCAGAAGAGCAGGACTGCAGCAATGGCGGCAGTGGCGGCAGCAGCTGCGGCAGCAAGAGCAATGGCTACAATGAGGGGAGTGGAAAGGCCAGAAGAAGGAGCAGAATCAGCAGTGCTCGTGCTGCTGTTACTGGAAGAACCCGCAGTTGATACAGGCCAGCCGTCCACAGGGGGTGCCCCAGCCGCAGCAGCATAAGGGTCATCAGAAACGGTGACGGTGTTGCCAGTGACGTTGCTGCTGCTGCTGCTGCTGCTCCTGCTGTTGTTGGGCATCTGAACATCGCCCACGTGAAAGAACACCCCAAAGAGAGAAGGCCCGTCAGGAATCTTCTCAGCCCAAGAACCACCAGGAGGGGTACCACCCCTACCGCCATTCCCCCTTCCCAAACCCTTTCCCCGTCTCCCATACCCACCAGTACCGTTCTGGGAACCCTCAGAACCGTTCCGCACTGCACCAGGACCCGGCGGCACCAAATCCAGGTCAAACGCGCCCCGGCCGATGGCTTCGAGGTGCGTTTTTATTTGCTCTTCCTCGTCGGGGAGGAAACCGTCGAAGCCGGGGCGGGGGTAGACCGTGAGCACCACGCCTGTGAGGTCGCGGCCGGGAGTGACGGCCACGGCGGTGGCGATGTTGCTGCGCGCCAGCAGCACCAGGAGGCTCCCTGCGAAGCGGGCCAGTGCAGGCGGGGCGAACAGCGTCGCCACCGCTGCTGTTGTCGCATTCCGCACTGCTTCAGTGGCAGGTGGGTTTTGCGAGAGGGGCGGGGAGGAGGGCAGCAGTGGCAGGCAATGGAAATCAAGCTCTGGTAGGTTAGCAGGCATGGCTGCCGGAGGAGCACTGCCCCGCTCTGCTGTATCACCCCCCTGCTGCCCTGCCCTGCCCTGCCTGACGCCCTCATAAGAAAGGTTCTGATCATCGTCGTCCTCGTCTAGCTGTGACCGGGGCGGGTCTGTGCGCCCTTTGGGTTTGAACCACGGGAAGAAGGTGCCAGTGTCTGCCGCCCGCCTGTCAGGCGCGGGTGGGGGATCGGACGAGGAGGGGGATGACGGAGGAACTGGGGCAGGGCGGCCGGGTGGGGAGGAGAGGGCGGGGTTGAGGCGGGGCGAGAGGGTGATGTTGGAGGAGCAGATGGAGAACCGCAGCGACACGTGAAACGGCTCCACGCATTTGCAACTCCGCTTCTTCACCTTCCCCTGTCCTTTGCCCTGCCCCTGCCCCTGCACCTGCCCCTGCCCCTGCCCCTTCCCCTGCCCCTGCCCCTGCCCCTGCCCCTGCCCCTGCCCCTGCCCCTGCTCCTGCCCCTGCCCCTGCTCCTGCCCCTGCCCCTTCCCTTGTCCCTGCCCCTGCCCCTGCTCGATCAACTCATCCGCCCAACTATTATCTTTCTCAGTCTCCTTTTCCGCCTCCTCCACATCACCTCCACCACGCCCGTTCCCAAGCTCCCTATCATCCTCGTCCTCCCCACTCTCCTCGCCAGCCCCACTCTCCCTGCCTGAGTCTGTGTCTGTGGCTGTGTCTGTGTTGGCGTCTGCGTCTGGCACGTCGTCCAGGAGAACAATCACGGTCCCCAGCAGATCGTCCTTTATGCCCGAGGCGACAGGCTCGAACTCATAGCGCGCGGGGCAGCGGGAGGAGCAGGGGGAGGAGGGGGAAGGGGTGCGGGAAGGGGAGCGGGAAGGAGAGCGGGAAGGGGAGCGGGAAGGGGAGCGGGACAAGGAGTCGATGGCCGCGGCGACGGAGGGCCGCGAAGGTGGTGACGGTTGGGAATTTCGTGGAGAGGGAGAGGAAGGGGAAGAATTTGCGGAAGATCCCTGGGCTGGAGGGTCTGAGGATGATAGGAGCCGGCCGCTGCTCGCCTCTGCTCCCCGCAGTTTGATCGCTGTGGACGTGGGTTCGATTCCGCTATGACCATGCTGCTGCAGCAGCTGTTCGGTGCTGCCACCATCACCATGTGACGTCTTCCCAGCTACTACTACGGCGAGCAGTGGCAGCATGAGGAGGAACGAGTGGAGGTGCCCGCTCCTTGCTGCCATTCTCGTTGTGCGCTGGTGAAAACTTGTCCTAATGAGGGTGTAGGTCGTAGATAGAGGAGGAGAGAAGCAACTGTTATTATTTCAAAGACGGAACCGAGGGCCTTGACGACGGGTTACTATGGCTGCCATGGAAGCAAGTACTACAGCGTCACCAAGTCTAATTGCGAGTGAAATCCTTTAGCAGCGTCAAAACGCGAGTAACGGAGCTTCTGAAGTGAAATAAAGACGGGGGATGCTGGAAATTGGTCGTCGACTCCGAGTTGTTGGGAGGAAGCAGCTCGCCAAATCGCAGCTCCAGGGACGACTGTCGACTCACATCGCACACTTCCTCACAATTGCTTGGCGGACTGTCTGTCGATCGGCACGAATGGAACCGAGTCAGCACAAGACGGTTGCTACGCGAATCGCCGTTGTGCCGAAAGCCCTCGAGACTAGATATGCAACCGCTTTGACTGGGAACGTGAATAGGAGCGAGAATCCCTGTGGGTGAAAATGTGAAACAAATCATTCGCCTAGGGGAAATTAGGAAATTGGTGAGAGGAGGTGCATGCGAAATGCCGTGTGGCGCAGATCGGAGGTTGCGCTGCGAATAGAAACGCGCCTCGTAGGCAAAACGGGAAATTGCGGTTGCGAACTGCCGCAACCATCGCTGGCCCATCATGAAACCGAATCGCCGCGTGGTCAATGAGGTCACGCTCGCATGCTCGATAAATGCAGTTTCGTTCTTTCGCAACCCAGAACCTGAAATTGTACAACAGATAACGTGTTAGCAAAACTGAGCACATATATTGCAGCCAATTGCCTACTCTACTTACATTAACGTCGTTGAATAATGTGAAAGCACTCAAACCACAGGTCCCTTCCGTGAACTACACTTGAAGGCCCCACCAAGCTGAAACCGGCTTTTTCATAGAAACCTATTAGTGGCTGCACACATTCAAGAATAAATTGATGAAGCGCAAATAAGAAAATGGAAAATATTGAAACAAACAGGTACTCGGAAACCATAATAGATCTCTCACCTTCTTGCATAATAGTCGAATGGAGTGCAGCCTCGGTTGTTCAATGGTCGAAACTGTCAGAATCCCAACCACTAGACCATTGGGATAAAAGGGCTTGTTATAGCGGGTCAGTGCGCCCATAACCCCCCAGGACAACGAGCCTGTAACCCTTCCCTAGGATCAATCAGGGATCACCAGTGGACCTCTGACACCCCCCCGCACTGGGATGCCCGAAGTGCACACACTGGGATTCGAACCCGAGACCTTCGCTCTGATAACATGTCAGAATCCCAACCACTAGACCATTGGGATAAAAGGGCTTGTTATAGCGGGTCAGTGCGCCCATAACCCCCCAGGACAACGAGCCTGTAACCCTTCCCTAGGATCAATCAGGGATCACCAGTGGACCTCTGACAGAAACATGCTTGATGTAGGCTCTCAACAAACGCAAACCAATGCCTTGACGACGGTACTCTTGCCCCACACACACGGAATGAATGCACAAGGTCCCTGCAAACAAGCATCATGGAAAATTGTATGCAGTGGGAAATGTTTCACAGGCAAACGGAGGTCATATGAGCGCCAAACGGGAGTACCTTACATGAAGAATGCATGTCAGAAATCCTCTTACTGAGGAGCCTCTCACAACGCCAGCTAACCATCGGAGGCGAGGGAAACGAGGGAAGGAAAAAAGCGTACTGCCTGAGGGATTATGCACGTACTGCCTTGGGGATCATGGGCGAACATGGAGGCATGGTCCAGCTCATCCCTGGCCGTTTGGGTGCCGCACACGAAGCCCACTATCTCTATTCCTAGTGTCGCCACCAGAAACACTGAGCTGGCTGGGAAGGACGGGGGAGGGAGAGGAGATTTATAAGTGGAGGCAAGGCGAGTATGGCATGGATTGCACGACACACGTATATGTGCGCCATTATAAGTACATGTTTCCGGGTGTGACAGAATAGAAATTAACAGGTGTCCAAAGAGCGGGAAACAGAGGGAAGTAAACAGAGGAGGAGGGGAAGGGGAGGATGGAGGTGACGATGGTCTGGCTGGGAGTAGATATAACTTGAAAAACGGCCAACATTCAGCCAGATCAGACTGGAAAGGAAGCACTTTCTGTCTGATTCGAGCCGGATCAGCCAGATGAACAGATCAGACAGCTCGGTGAGAGAAGCGTGAAGAGAAGAAAAGCGGAGTGCGTTTGGCAAAATGGTTGGCACTGTGGTGGGTAGAGGCACCTTGGTGGATGCGGTAGGTGAGGGAGTCGAGGGAGGCTGCTTCATCTGCGGGGTATCCGGCCTCTTCCAGGGAGTGCACGCGATGCAGGTCACTGGGTGCTGCCGTGCGGAACACCAGATGGCGGTCCAACATGTCCTCCCTGCATGACACTGGTGGGTGCAACCAGTTTTGAGATGTATAATAAGTGACTCAAATATCGCTGGGTGCTGCCGTGCGGACACCAGATGGCGGTCCAGCATGTCCTCTCTGCATGACACTGGTGGGTGCAACCAGAGGTAACTTTTGAGTTGACTCTAAGGTCGCTGGGTGCTGCCGTGCGGAATGCCAGATGCAGGTCCAACACGTCCTCTCTGCATGACACTGATGGGTGCAATAAGTTTTGAGATGTCTCAGAAGTGACTCGAATATAGCCGGGTGCTGCCGTGCGAAATGCCAGATGCCGGTCCAACATGTCCTCTCTGCATGACAGTATAGGGTGCAACCAGTGCCAGTGCCATGTCGATGACATGCCAATGACACGAGAGTGCCATGCGAAGTTCCATGCATGCAATGCCATGTCACGGGTGAGACCCATGTGACATAATGGAATGCCATGCCACGTCGCAGCACGTCAATCACGCGTGCCATTTGGTGCAATGGTGTCAGACCATGTGACGAGACGAGCCATCTCGCATCACGAAATGTAACGTCAGGACGCCTGACAGCAGGTCCAGTCATTCAGCAATACAGCTAGCTGATTGCAATGGAACGAGAGGCAAATGCGGGACCTTTATGCATGTGATAGAGCACTAACACCGAAGAGAAGCACACTCTCAACATTCCTACCGTATGGGTCGGATGCGAGATTCTTAGCACGGATTGGCGAATGCTGCCCTACGCCGTAACCCTGCTTGACAGACGACTCGCTCCATTGCGGATTGACGCTACAACCTCGCCGTTGCCTTTGTTGGCTTCGTTCGCGAGGGACTCGCATAATGGATTTAGCCGCAGGAAGGGCGACGACGGCAGAGCGACAGGCAGTGCAGGAGGACATCGAGCACGCGAGGCTGAATTCGCGGGCGAGCGAAGCGGTGGTCAGCGGAGGACGGACCGCTCTTAGGGAACCCACAGCGCGATTCATCCTCTGCGAGCCTAGTAACGACAGTGGATGGTTGTTCGGAGTATCAAGAATGCTGCCTGACAATGGCCATGCGGTGGGGAAGTACCAAGGTTGTCGCGATTGTGCTCACATCATCTGGCTCCACCCCTCATTCCAATTCCTTCATGCCTCGGGATTCCAATTGCAGATGTTGAGGGATTAGATGAGATGATTGCGAGGTACATGTCATAAAAGTTCTACTACCTAGGCGCCTTCATACCTATCATATATCAATTGGCTCAATATACCTAAGGTGACGAGCTTTTGCAAAAAATAAAACACTTTACACATACATCATACACTTGAAACTACATTTTTCACAGCCCATCGAACCACTTGTAACCATTGAAACACCAACGCCTCCACGCAAGCAAGACTCAGGCAACTCGGAGTTCTTCCTTGGTTGCTTCCACCAGCTGGCTCGCACAGCACATTTCCCACAGCTGCCCTTCCGCAGTCTGCTTCCTAGACGCACGTGAGGGGTCTACTTTCGAGGCGCCTCAAAAGTAGAGTCAGGCAACGCCAAGCTCTCCCTTAGTTGCTTCCAACAGCTGACTCGCACGCCGCACTTCCCACAGTTGCCCTTCTACAGTCTGCTTCCGCGAAGCACGAGCCTGCCTGGGCAGCTGCGGCTGACGGGACAGTGGAGGAGGGGGGGTCACCCCCACAAGACCACACAGCAACTCAGCCTCCTCCCGTGGAGACCCAGGGCTTTGAATCGTGCCGCCAGTTATAAATTTCTCCAGCTTTTTAATTTCACTCGCAACCCGCACCCCCTCCTCTTGTACCTCTTTCTCCACCAACAGCTCTTCCTCCTCTGATCCCTCCCCGCCCTGCCCAAACACAACACGCTTCTCCTCCACCTCTGCCTCAGGTTTACAGCCTTCCTGCCCTGCCACGCCTGCTGCTGCCATCTCCTCTTTGCTTGCCTTGGGCGCTTCAACTCCCACTCCACCTGCCTTGCCTGCCTCTCCTGTCTCTCCTGTCTCTGCTGCTTCCACCACACGGATACGTGCCACGCCAGTCAAGTCCTGCTCACAAGGGCACCACAAGATTGGGCTTGGCTCAGCCAGAGCGTAACAGTGCCAGTGACACATTCATGAACCTGGAGTGCTCATTCATGAACTTAAATGCTTCCTCCTAATCAAGCAGGCAAATTACCTTTGGAATGTGATGAAGCACCAGCGATGGCCCCTCCTCCTCCTCTTCCTCCTCCTCCGTTCTCTCCCGTCGCTGTTGCTCCACCACTTCTGATCCTCCCGCCCTTGTCCCTCTCCCTCCAGCCGGCTCCTCCTCAGCCCCACCAGAGTCAATCGCCTGGACCCTCATTCGCACCGTCGGCCGTGCTGCTCCCGCCACCCCCGGCCTTGTTGCTCCCACCACCACTGCAGGTCCTTCCATGCTGCCCAGCCCCGCCACTGCCCTCGCTTTAGGAAGCCCCGCTACATGCACAGACTCTGGGCTTGAGGGAAAGGCTCGAATGCCAGCAGGAGGGGTAGAAGTCACATGAGGAGCGGCAGCTTGCGAAGGAGCAGCTCCAGAAAAGGCCGGTTGAGCTTGAGAGCGGACAGCTTGAGAAGGGGGAGCATGCGGGACGGCAAGTTCAGGAGAGGGGAACCGCCGGGCAGCATCAAGGCTGGTCCTCTCGCCTGCCTGAGTCTCTCCAAATCCACCAGCCCTGCTGCTCGGTCCCCTTTCCCCACCTGCTGCTTGCTCACGTGCAGGAGGCAAGCCAGAGCGACCCTGCACGTCCATGCTGGTGCTGGCAGGCTCTAGCAGGAGGGCAGCTTGCTTCTCTTGAGGTTGATGTTGATTATGTGGCACGCCTGGGGACGGCTGCCAAGGCCTTCTACCCGCGCTGCTACTGGGGCCCTGCAGAAGCTTCTGCTGTGGCGAGCGGGACTGCATAGTGGGAGAAGAAAGCGGTAGAGAGGTGCAGAGATTGCCAAAATGATGCTACTGTTTGCCTGTGCTGCAAACTTCAATGATCAGTCATGCCTTGCGTTGACACCAGAAAACGGTAAGCAAGACTTTGACATAGCTGCATGCCACGTTGTCCGCCATCTCAGCTCAGGTCAGTCAATTTCTTGACATGCCTGCATCCAATCGTACGGTAGCTGCACCTGTTGATGGCTGTACCTTGACAAAGCCGTACGCAGCGAGCACGGCTACCAAAGGCGACAACACGAAGGCGGCGGGCAGGAGAAACGGCAGAGAGACGACGGCAACTGAACCAATCGCGAACTGCCAAAAAAAAAAAAAAAAAAAAAAATCAGTGCAAAAGTCGAATGCCGATTAGAACAATACGAGGAGAGCAGCTAAAGGGGGCACAGCGACTCACCATCTTGATCAGATACGCCGCATCCTCAGAGAGCGTCGGCATGCTGGCTCCTTGCACTTCCTTCCACTGGGAATTAGTAGCTTCCCGTGACACCCCTTACGAAATACTCAAAATTAGGCAGCACAGCGAAGACAATCGGATCGGACCGTTGCAGCGTCGGTAGTTATGGGACCAGCGGGACAGCAGGATTCAAAGAAACGATGTCTCTCACGCTCCGTAGAAAACCCTCATGATTCCCACCAAGGCAACAACGTTCCCGGGCTCGCTGCAGCGTTGGACGGTGACCAGAGCCGGCGAGCAGTCAGTCACGGAAGAAATGGAACTGCGTCACACCCTAACGTGGTCCAGTGGTCTGGCAGACCACGGTGGCCAGCGACCACCACCACCACCACGACACACGCGCACTGGGGACCACGGACGCCAACGCGGCGCGCTGTCGATCGACACCATCGCGCTCCTCTCCGGCGCCAGGCCGCGCTGCCAGGCTCTGCCAGGGTCTGTTGGGACGCATTTCACGCCAAAATACGAGCTCGTAGTATTCTCCAAACACCCTGTTCGTTAAAATTTACCTCCCTGCGAACAGCGCATGCAAGCGAGAATCTATCGAGCTGGCTCCTCCGCCAGTCGCCTGGAATCCAGGTGGACAGCTGGCGGGTCGTCGCCTTCTCGTGGTGCTCGTGCTGCATCCTTGTAACGATACCCGAGATCGCGAACTCGATATAGCGCGGAAAAGAGCGCGAAGGGTTTCATGAAGTGACACAAGAAGCCGCAATTGACGGCGATGAAACCTGCCATGTGTCAGGCATGCATAAACGCCTCAAGCAGAAATGTTGGAATATATATTGGTCACGGGGCAGCGTTCCGTCGTACCCGGTAAAGGCAGAAACTCGAGACAATTGCGAAACTAAGGGCTTGGAGTCCGACTTACAATCACAAGCAGGTGTGAAGGAAATACCCAAAGTTTATGAAGACTGGGTGCACGCATACCTAACACATCCAGAGAGATGCAAGGACGTGTGGGTCACAAAAAGGCAGAAGTCATCTGCCAATTACATTAGTGCAATCACTAAACCTAATCATTAGCTAAGACTAGGAAGGCTACAGAAATGTACAGAAGGAACACTGGGTATACAGCTAGGAACTTTCTAGGTTCTAGCACAGCACCTGACACGAATGGGTAGGCTGCAGATGAGCTCCAAACGAGGGTGGCTGTGACAACTGCGAATCTAATCCACTTGCTGTAGATAAATAGGCAAACAAAGGCTCCAATGTCAAGTGGAAAGAGGCAGTAGCCAAGGACACTGAGGCTCTGGAAGAAGATAATCCTCCCTCCCTGCAAAACACCCCCCAAAGAACATAATTTAGGACACTCTGATTAAGGATGCCTAGCAGCAACGGAACCAGTTGGTTTAAAGATCCAGCAATTGGAAAGGAAATACACAGCACACACATCATACTTCGAGGCAAGCAACATACCAGAAGGAGCACATTGAGCGTGAGGATGATTGCCCCAGACGAGAGGACACCAAAGACCACCGCGAAGACTTTGGACTGCAACAACAAGAGGAGTAACATGCATAGCGTTTTTGTCATTTTTGAGGATGTTAGCTCCTGACTACCTAAAAAAAAAAACACACTCCTCGTATGACCTATAAAGCCCAAATGCACCAACAACCTCTCCATACTCCCCACATGACCCATGATTTCAGACTCAAACATTTCGCTATCTGCAAATCCACCACCTCCTGATGAAGCTTCCTTCGTCGCCAATCTGGCGCAAACAACGCACTCTACGTTCTCAATTTAACTAAGAAATGGAACTGCAAGAAATTTTGGAGACGGGGAGTGGCGGTTTTAGGGGGGAGAGGGGCGGGGGGGGAGGAAGGAGAGGGGGAGGGGGGGGGAGGAGGGGGGGGGGGGGGGGAGGGAGGGAGGGGCGGGAGAGGAAAGGGGTGTTGGAGAAAGGCGGTTCTTTGAACTGTTTGAATCCTCGAGACCAATAGAGCCAGCCAGATCCCGTACCTTGTTCTCGGAGGCTGAGGATGAGAGGATGAAGGCGAGGAAGATGATGAAGAAGAAGGGACCCCACAAGTCCCAGTCACGGATGGAGCTGTGAGCCCCTTCGCCTCGTCCCATCGGCAACACCACGTTCCGGAGGTTGTGTATCACACGCCACACGTCTCGTTTCAAGGTGACGATCACGGGTTCTGCAAGAACCAATCAGAAGACACATTTGAGCATATTGACTCGAAATCCCAACAAATTCAGACATGCAATACGTATCAGATCGGCACAAGCGGTCGCCATAATCACGAAAATACCAAGCTCAAGTGCTGCGCAGTAGAGATCCTTCTCCTACCATTAAGAGTGTTATAAACTGGCGGGGCTTCCGAAGTCGCCATGGTAGCTACGGCAGAAGTCGGAGTGCTCGGATCCGCAGTGTTACTCGGCGCGCTGCTAACTGGGAGAAGCGGAACCACTGTTTCAGCCTTCCCGCTAGGATCTGGTGGAGGACCGCCAGCCACTATGCCAGCTGTTTCCAGAGGAACGGACTCCATATTGAAAAGACTGGAGATTTCATCGCTTTCCGCCTTGGATCGCTGCGAGCTCGCGCTGATATCCGCCATGACGAATTTTTTCTTCCGTTTGAAACTCTCACCACGATTTGTGATTTAACGGAGTCCGAACTCGGCGATCTGAAGAAACCTACAAGAGCAGCACTAAATCGTGGTATGAATACTCAAACTACAAAATCTCGTAACTCGGTGAGTGCTGCAGATACCGCCCTCCCACAACCACGACGAGGCACTCCAGGTATTTTCACGTCAATCGCGTTCAAGGTGGAAGCGATCCACGACCATGAAGGAAATCCATCAGGGAATTCAGGGAGCAGGAACAAACAACGGTCATGTGGGAGTGCATATGGGATCTGTTCGCAGCAGCGGTTCAAATCAAGGTGGAGCTCGAAAAGGTTTGGGAAATGGTACATGTAATTTCACCAAGCTAATAAAAAACAAACAAAACGTAAACGAACGAAAAAAAACTACCGGTATCTAGCTCGCAATTCCTTCTCCCGCGATTATATCACGGTAACCACCACCAACAGGCTCCATTATTTCCAGATTATACGTTTTTCCATGTGATTTCCAATACACCGTCCTAAAGGTGGTTGGTTGCGCATGAAAGTTTGTTCTAGACCGAATTGCCCAAAGTTTACATATGATAATGTGTTGAATTATATTGCATATCTTATAACTGCCTATAGCTAGCTAGTGTACTAGTTTAGGTATTAGCATCAACTGCTGGTGGTGTACCCTCCCTTTTGCCCATTCCTATATCGTGTATCCATTCCATAGTGAAACCCCTTCTTTGGCCAAACCCTCTCCCGTAACTCTCGCTATGCTCCTTCTCCTAAGCTCCTACTTTGCTCCTAAACTTAACATGGTATTAAGAGCTGGTTCTTTCTAAGGACCAATTTTTATCATGGGCCCACCACTCCTGCCCGCTGATGCCGTCGTACCGTCGTCACGCTCTGCCCGTAGGCCCGTCCGCCGCGTTCTGCCCGTGACGAACGCGCCAACGACCTATGGCGAGCGCACCAGCGACCAGCGCCAGCGCGTGCGCCAGCGACCAGCGCCCAAGCGTGCGCAAACGCCAGCGCGTGCGCCAGCGACCTGCGCCAGCACATGCGCCAGCCCTGGCGACGGTCGCCAGCGCGTGCGCCAGCCCTGGCGACGGTCGCCAGCGCGTGCGCCAGCCCTGGCGACGGTCGCCAGCGCGTGCGCCAGCCCTGGCGACGGTCGCCAGCGCGTGCGCCAGCCCTGGCGACGGTCGCCAGCGCGTGCGCTAGCCCTGGCGACGGTCGCCAGGGCGCCCCGCTCGCCACCATTGCGCGACCAGCGGCTTCTGTCGCAGCAGCGCCCCCCCCCCCTCCCTGCCGCGGCTTCACTGTAGGGGGGGGATGAAGGGGGATGAGGGTGTGGCGGGAGGTACTATGCAGCACCAGCCCGCGGCCCTTCTCTTCCCTCTCTCTCGCGACCGTGTTTACGGTCGTGAGGGGGGGGGATGAGGGGGTGGCGGGGGTGACCAGCAAACCGCTGCATCTGCACTCCTCTCCTCGCTCCAGCAGCCGCCTCTCCACTCCTCCTCCTCTCCTCACTCCAGCAGCCGCCTCTCCTCACCCCTCCTCTCTCCTTCCTCCAGCCGCATCTCCTCCTCCTATCTCCTCTCCTCCAGCCGCCTCTCCTCTGCTCTCCTCCTGTGCACCACCAGCAGCTTCCTCCTCCTCACCAACAGTTGTGTTTGCTCGTAGATGGCGAGCGACCAGCATCCTTCGCCCTCCGGCTATCCCAGCCCTTCTCCGCGCTCTCCGCGCCCTCCTCCGTTCTGGCGTTCACGGGTGCTGCCGGTCAGCCACCGCTGTTTCTGTGCCTATCCCAGCTACAGCAACCGCTCTCCAGGCGACCTGGTGCCAGATGTTGGAAACAATCGATCTTAAGCGCCTCTGTCGTGTCGAAACACTAAGGCACAAACGAAGCAAAGCATATCGAAGCACCGGCGAGTCAACCCTCGGAGGTTGAAAGTAAATGTTGGAGGTTACGCGAAAGTCAAAGGTCAGCGACCTTTGACCTGACAAGTACAGCGCGACAGCAAGGACACACAACTGACTCGCTACAGAGCAGTTGCCCGAGTCGTCACTGTATCGAACCGCAACAGCAACAGTAAAGTAGTTACAACCGTATCTCTTCGTATTCCTTGTACTCTTATATAATATTGTATCTCCTTGTTTTAATCAATCTACTTTGCCCTCACATACTAGCGCAAGGTGGTTCAACTACTTCATTAAAGCTTCCGCTACTACACCAGTCCTACACAGAGTTCACCCCTGTAAAGATCCTAAGGGCTATTTTCTCAGCCCAACATGGTATGAGAGCGGGAGAATTCAACTTCTATTAAGATACCGACAACATCAACAGGCATGGCTACACAAAAGGAAAGGAGCTCCTCCAACGGCTCCCAGGGCACTACTCCTACTCCACCTCCTGCCTCTGGCCTACAGACAGAGGAGGGTACGGCAACAAGACCCAGGGCAACATCCACCGAGACTCCTGCGAATCAACCTGCAGGCTTCGACCAGAGTATGATGGAGAAATTTTTCTCCTTCATGTCCTTCTACGAGCAACACCAGCAATCGGTACCTGCGCAGTCACACAACAGCAACAACAACAACGATGTGACTCCAATGAGTCTTGACGGTTCATCCTACGCACGTGGAAATCAACAGCAACAACCTACCTTTGCTCCGTACGAGCCCCAGCGTGGCTCCGTCAGCTTTATGCCACAAACGCAGCCTGCATCTGGACAAGAGAAGACACTGGATGCGCTACAAGTTCAATCTCAGTTCGCGCACGTTCTAAAGCTGCAGACGACAAGACCTTTCGATGGAAAGGACTTCTTCACCTGGTCGTTTGAATTCGAGTTAATGATGGAAGGCGCGCAGATACTTGGCTTCTTCGACGGGTCCCTGCCATACCCAACGAACGGCACACAGTATGAGAAGCAGCAGTACACCTATCAGTCGATGATGGCGTACACGATTTTACTGAGAAACATCACCCCGACTCAACAGCAGAATATACGGTCTTACCGGGGTTACGGCAACTCCGCGGAGCTCGCATACAACCACTTGAAGAGCCTGTATCAAGCAACAGACAGCGTAAATCAGAGTCGGCTGATGGCGCAACTGACAACAGTCGAGATGAAACCAGGCGAGAAAGGAATGGCGTATATCAGCCGATGTCGCGAGTTGCGCGACAAGCTGCTTCGATGCGGAGGGTCGAATTCTGAAGACGCCTTCGTGACAGTTATCATTGGCGGCCTCGGTCCTCAATGGCGCGCCACAAAGGCCATTCTCCGAGCCCACGGAAGAATCTCCGAAGCAGCGCTCTGCGCTGAAATCCATGCCGAGCAACAAGACATGGACCTGCAAGAAGAACGACACAAGAAGAAGACATCAGCACCGGAATTTGCATTCCACACTCAGCGACGCTACAACAACAACAAACAACAACAACCGAAGCCCGTACCTCCGTTCTGCCACATCTGCAAGACGTCAGGGCACCCGCGCACGCACTGCCCGAATCGACAACAGTCAACACCCTCGCAACAGCAGCTTCGACCTTCAAGCAATCAAGTCGCCTCAACACAAGCAAATCCTACGACCCAGATTAAAGCCTCAACGACCTCAACAGGACAACCTGCACAAGGAACAAGAATTATCGTCAGCTGCATGGCAAGATTGTCAGACTCCTGCATCACCGAGTCACCGCCACACTACTCACCGGAAGAACAACTCGACAACACCACACCTCGCCGCGAGTCACTTCAACCGAATCCAACGTACGCAGCCATCGCCCAGAGCGAGCCATCCGGGAAAGACACCTGGTTCTTGGACAGTTGCTGCGGACAGCACATGTGCTCTTCAGGACGCTTCGTGCAGCAAGAGTACCAACTCCAACGCGAAGTAGTCATCACCGTCGCCAACAACCAGAACCTGCGCACACGACGGCAAGGCGTGGTTCAACTTCAGTCAAGAGAGACAAACGTTATACTACAGATGTCAAAGGTATTAATCACGGAGGGACTCGGCTACAACTTACTGAGCGTCAGCCAGTTGATGGCAAAAGGCATTCTCCTCGAAGCAGACAGCACCACCCAGGAGTTCAAGTTGTACCACGGGAGAGGAGGTCTCTACATCGGCAAAGCAGTCTTGAAAAACAATGTCTTCGTTCTCGACTTCGTTCCAGATCTCGGCACTGCCGACAGCGACGGCATCGTCACCTTCACGTCTTGGACACATCCACCGGATCTTGATCCAGACTTCAGCCCCGGCGGCTTCTGGTATTCACACACCATCCCTGAGGCAGAAAGAACAAGGGCGTTAGCAACAATTCAGACAACATCGACAGCAGCAGAGACAACATCGGCAGCAGCAGAAACAACATCGGCAGCAGCAGAGACATCAACGACAACAGCGGCAACATCAACACCAATCGCTGGTCCTTCAACGGCACCGAACTTCGTCGATGACACACCACCGACACCCGCGCAGCAACTACACCCAGCACCACGAGAAGTTCATCGAAGCGACAACTTCACCGCCAGCTTCTACTCCAACTCCGACATGTACCGACGTTCGCCAGCGAAGAAATCTGGCATGCACGAATGGGACACCCGAGCAACACAACGTTAAACAACACGATAAGAGCAGGAGTGCTCGACAAAGATTCGCTCCTACTACATGACGGAAGAGAACTCCAACGAGCAAAAGGGACATGCTTCACATGTCCAGAAGCCGACTTACCGCATCAACCGTTTGTCCCTCACCACAACCCGAGTGCACCAGCATACGCACCGCTTGAAAAGGTGTACAGCGACATCCTGTACAACCGCGTACCAGGTCAAGGAGCTTACAACTACACCATCACCTTCATCGACGCCGCCACCCGATACGTTTGGCACCTGAACCTTCCGAGTCGCGACATGGCTTTCGAAGCCTTCGTCGCCTGGCTTCCAGCAGCAGAACGAGAGTCCGGAGTGAAACTAAAGAGTTTTCAGTCAGATGGAGGCGGAGAATACACCTCACAACGCTTCAAGGACTACCTGGCAGAGAAGGGAATCAAGAGGCTCATCTCCCTTCCTTACGCCCATCAACAGCAGGGTGTAGCAGAAAGGATGAACAGGACGCTCCAGAACACCATGCGCAAGCTACTACGTGGCATGCGGCTACCCAACCACCAGTGGCCCGAAGCAATGGACCACGCCGTCATGCTGCACAACTTGCTCTCGTCATCATCGCTCCCGAACAACGCATCACCGCATCTGCTGTGGACAGGAAAATTGGGCAGCACAAAAATGTTACGAGTCTTCGGCTGCATGGTACAGTACCGACCCCCATCTGCACGAGCCGGCCGATTCTCCCAACGCGCACAGTGGGGACTACACCTGGGCATCGAAAAGAATTACAACGCATGGAAGATTTTCGACGTCCACACCAAGGAAACAGTGGCAGCACGTGATGTGATTTTCTACGAACGACTCACTCTCGACTCCTACCTAGCCAACGTGGAAGAACAACGCGACCTCACCAGTGGACTTCGTGGAGATCGAGCCTTCGCTTCCGCAGCAGACGAAGCTGACTTGGACGAGCAGAACGTGGACACAGCCTCGGAGGAAGCCGGACCTCTCCCGTACTGCTCCGTCGATGTCCCAATGGATGACGAAAACCCTCGCGAAAGCGTCAACGCCGAAGTATTTTACCACTTCGCCGACAACGGTTACGTTACACCTGCAGAAGTCAACACCAACGAAGCAGAACGCATAGGGCCCAACTTCGTACCCGACCCAGAAGCAGGTGATGAAGCAGCCTATCCCGCGGATACCACACTTCCCCGCTACACACAGAGTGGACTCCAAATTCTTGGTCTCGTCACCGCAGTCCACGGCGCAGCCATTCCTAAGGAGCCTGCGACAGTTCAACAGGCTCTGGGGGGGGAACATAAGGAAAAATGGCGCGAAGCCATGGACAAGGAGCTAAAGGCACTAGAGGAACGCAACACCTGGAAGGTCGTCCCTATCAGTGTAGCACGGAACAAAACAGTACTCACCGGGGAGTGGGTCTTCCGTGTGAAAACAAAGGCTGACGGCACCATCGACAAGTTTAAAGCTCGTTGGGTCGTACGCGGCTTCGACCAAGAACACGGACGCGACTTCACCAAAACCTTCGCTCCGGTCAGTCGACACACTTCACTCCGAATCCTCCTCGCGATCGCCGCAATGAAGAAAAAGAAGCTGCGGCAAATCGACGTTGTGAACGCATTCCTCTACGCACCTGTTGACGCAGAAATCTTCGTCGAGCTACCGCACGGCTCCAACGGCGAGCCCAATCAAGTTTGTCAGCTGCTGAAGTCGCTCTACGGCATCAAGCAAGCTCCGCGACTTTGGCAACAATACCTGCACGCTCGCCTCATTCGCATCGGCTTCAAGCAACTACCGCACGATCAGGGCATGTACCGGCTTACAAAAGGCACCGACTACATCCTGTTAATCGTCTATGTAGACGATCTACTCTACATCGGCTCGACAGACGGCATCACAACCTGGTTCGAAGGGGAGCTGCAGAAGGACCTCACGCTCACAGTCTCATCTACCGTCACACAGTACCTCGGCCTCAACATCCGAGAAGAGGAAGACGCGATCTACCTCAGTGCCGCGAAGTACGCCGACACCATAGCCAAGCGCTTCGCACTCGTACCGACCGCCATCTCCACACCGTACCGCTGCACGACAGGAAACAGCAAGGGAAGCCCCGCTCTACTTAAGCCCGCCGGCATACAAGACTACCAGAGGAAGCTGGGATGCCTCCTTTTCGCAGCTGTCACCTGCCGTCCGGACCTATCGTACTCTGCAAGTCAGCTCGCCACCTACCTCAAGAAGCCTGAAGCGGAACATCTAGCAGAGCTCGACCGTGCTCTTCACTACCTCGTCAGCACCCCGACGATCGGCCTAACTTACTACAAGAACGCAACTACACCGCCTAAGTTAATCGGCTACGTCGACGCCGATCACGCTGGCGACTCCGACAACAGGCGCTCTCGCACCGGCTACATCTACCGCCTCGAACCTATCGGACCTATCTCTTGGCAGTCGAGCAAGCAGGAATTAATCGCTCTCTCGTCAGCTGAAGCAGAATATATTGCACTCTGTTCAGCCACCAAGGAAGGACTTTACCTTCGCGAACTGCTGGAAGAAGCGAAGCTGGCCCAGTTACCCAGCTTCACTCTGTTCTGCGACAACCAGTCGGCAATTCGCATTGCCAACAAGAACGGCTTCGCAAACAGGACGAAACACATCGCCCTGCGATACTTCTTCGTGAAGGACGAGATCGAGAAAGGGAGGCTCGAGCTGTCATACTGCCCCACGTCCGAGATGGCAGCTGACTACTTGACCAAGAAGCTCGGAAAGCAGAAGTTCGAGTACTGCATGCTGCTGACTGGACAGAGCCACGTCACCAGCAGCGACACTCCAGAAGCGAAGGGGAGTGTTGGAAACAATCGATCTTAAGCGCCTCTGTCGTGTCGAAACACTAAGGCACAAACGAAGCAAAGCATACCGAAGCACCGGCGAGTCAACCCTCGGAGGTAGAAAGTAACTGTTGGAGGTTACGCGAAAGTCAAAGGTCAGCGATCTTTGACCTGACAAGTACAGCGCGACAGCAAGGACACACAACTGACTCGCTACAGAGCAGTTGCTCGAGTCGTCACTGTATCGAACCGCAACAGCAACAGTAAAGTAGTTACAACCGTATCTCTTCGTATTCCTTGTACTCTTATATAATCTTGTATCTCCTTGTTTTAATCAATCTACTTTGCCCTCACATACCGTAATCCCCCGCATAGTACACCCCCCAAAATAGAACACCTGCGGGTGTTCAATTGCGGTGGGTGTACTAAAAAATACCCCAGTTAGAACACCCCCCATTTTTTCTGAAATTTGAGTACACGTAACACCCCCCATGACAATTTCATCGTTTTTTCAAGGAGATTTCAGATCAAGAAGCACGCGCGACCCTTGGAGACAATCGCGCGAGGTGGAGAGGCTGGCCCCAATTCGTCACTGCGCGATTGGTGTTGAGCCCCTGGTGTCAGAATGACGTGGCACCAAACCCACGCGCAGTGCGAAAGCTGTTTCAGCTGGTCTCGATAGAGTTCATTGAGCAGAATACAGAATACAGATAATTCAAAAGAATTATGTATGCCATTATATTGCATCCATGGGTGCAGGCTTACACCCCCCCCATAATTGAACACCCCCCTAAAGGGGGGTATTTATCAGTACACCCTAGGGTGTACTATGCGGGGGATTACGGTACTAGCGGAAGGTGGTTCAACTACTTCATTAAAGCTTCCGCTACTACACCAGTCCTACCCAGAGTTCACCCCTGTAAAGATCCTAAGGGCTATTTTCTCAGCCCAACACCAGACACCACTAGCTATAGCCGTAGACAGTTACGGGGGTGTGTTGAATTATATTGCATATCTTATAACTGCCTATAGCTAGCTAGTGTACTAGTTTAGGTATTAGCATCAACTGCTGGTGGTGTACCCTCCCTTTTGCCCATTCCTATATCTTGTATCCATTCCATAGTGAAACCCCTTCTTTGGCCAAACCCTCTCCCGTAACTCTCGCTATGCTCCTTCTCCTAAGCTCCTACTTTGCTCCTAAACTTAACATAATGGCACTCGACGCACACGAAAATATCGACACATAGATGCGGTACGCACAGACGAACACACGCAGATGCACACGGCAGATGCTGCTGCACCTGTAAAATAGGGGTCTGCTGCTGGGTCTGGGCAATCCTAGGTTTTTTTTCAGAAGTGTGGGCCAAATCCATTTCTCTGGGAAGCAGAAAGACAATCCTTGGAAAAATCAGTTCAGTCACAGCCAGAAGAAGAACTATCTAGAATAGGGGGTAATCTGGCACTTCTGCACCTTGTAATATGGGTGACTCAGTAAACTAGCAGATTTGGCATCAATACTCTGGAACAGGAGCACAAAGATCAATCCGTAATATGGGTGATAACGGTAGGCCAGCAGATTTGGAATCTAAATTGCACTGTGCAAGGACAGTTGATGGGAAACCGGATGTCTGAAGGACAAACGAGAACGCTCGTGGTATGTGCTAAAAAGGCATGTAGTCTGCTACTGCAGCAATAGTATAAAAACGTGTTTACACCAAAATCTTAGTCAACAATGCCGAAATTGGAGAGCAGAATGTAGAGCTGGTCTGGGAAGTTCACCCCTGTGGCGTATTCTGTGAGCAGACCCACTGCCAGACCAAACATAGCCCACCTGCACGGACAAGATAGATTCCAAGAAGTGTCGACGACAATATGAGGAATGAGTAGGCATGCAAACATGGCAAACACTGAAGATGGTACCGGGGATAGAGGACGGAGGGGCGAGGAGGGGGGGAAGGGGTGGGGTTGGAGGAGGGGGCGGGAAAGGGGATAGAGGTAAGAAGACGTCAAGAGAGGGAGACTTACCTGATGAGAGGCAGAGAGTCACAATTGGTTGTTAGCGGAAAGAGAGAGAGGTGGGAGAAAGGGCGACGAGGTAAGAGGGGGGAAGATTCAAAAGATGGGGAAACATAGAGAAAGCGGAGGGGTATGATGGGGGAAGGGTTCCAATCCACAAACACTGAAAGGAGCACCCACTAAAGGATGAGAGCAACACCACACTCAAGCTCCTCATACTCAACGCATTCACAACCTAATCGCGGGATGGTGTGAATTCACACAAGAAACACAAGGCCGACATGGCAGCCAAAGTGCGTCGACCAAACAATGTCCACGCGGAACGCGATAAGCAGCACCCGACCACCCGACGATCACAATGTACGAACTCCCTTCATGCCAAGGCGGATTCGTAATGCGTTACGCCAACTCATTGCTGTGGCTTTCTCTGGTCAATTAAGTGTTGAACACGACATCACCTCCGCAACCAAGACTTCTTAAAACCGAAAGAATAGGCAGAACTTGTCGCCAATGCACAGCTTTAGCAATCTTTATGAAAGCGGGGTCGACGGTGCATGCGATAGACCGCAAGACAAGGAATATGCGACAGCTGGAAAAACCGCGACCTACCGTCCGTTGCCGATCTCGTTCTTGGTGGTGAAGCCGAGCACCTTCCCGTCCCGCACGTCCTGCTCGTACTTCTTCTCCTGGAAGTACGCCACCATCTCCTTCGCCGCCTGCCGCTGATACTCCACCGTCACGCCTGCCGGAACCGTCGCCGCTGCGGAGGACGGACTGGCAGGAGCCGCGGCTGCTGGAGCGTCCGCTGATTGCGGAGCGACGGGACCTGGTCGCCGGATGGGCTCAGCTTGGCAGATGATGGTGCATCGGCGTGTGCTGGTGGCTGTTCTGGGAGGAGCGAGCGACAGCTTCAATGTGGATGTTGCTGATGACATGGAGCATGCGAGAGCCATGGCGGCGCGTCGTAATTGAAATGAGAGGTAAAATGCACCCAACTGCCCAAAAATGAGACCTCCAGGCACACAGAAGTCTGCAGAAGCGCTCTGGTGAAGTGACTAGACGAACAAGCTTCTATGGAAAGAAGATCCTTCAACTAGCTACAGAATGAAATTCCTCAATTTTCACTACGTTATGCTGGACCTGCAAGTCATAAAACGGGGAGGTGGGCCAACCAACAACAGAGGCGGGCCACGCTTCAATCTGTCACCCGCTGGAGCCACGCAGGCCTTAGGATTGTCACGCACCAGGGGGGCCAGCACAAAACAGGGGGGTCCTCTCGGGACTGGATGCGAAAGGTCCACGTCTCCTTCGCCAAGAGGGCGAGCTGGGGTCTACGGTGGTGCCACGTCACAGGTCCACGACAGATCCTTTCAGCTATGGATACTGAAACTTCCAACTTCCATGTCAGCCATGGATACTGTCCTGACCGCTTCGGAACGCGCAATGTCCAGCAATTTCTTGCCTGACCTGATGGAGTTTCGAATCAGACCAATGGATTCCTCTCGCGGAGTTCTTTAAAACCAGGGTGCACATTCAACGCGGTTCGGCTTGAGATGTTGGGAAGGGGGTTTGGAGAAAAACAGTGATTGGCTCACGAGGGGCGACAAAAAAATGATTCCGCTAGAGCTTCGGGCATTTCGTAGGTGGCGGGAGGGGGTGAAATGGCGGGAGTGGGTGAAACCGAATGGCGGGAGGGATGAAACAGATTGGCGGGAGGGGGGGGAAACGAAATTGCGGGGGAGGGGGGAAACAAAATTGCGGGGGAGGGGGGAAACGAATTTCGACGGGGAGGGGGAAATGAAATTGCGGGGGCGTGGGGAAACGAAATTGCGGGGGAGGGGGGAAACGAATTTCGACTTGAAGGGGTTGAAAGCACACCTCGTAACCCACTCAGTCAAGGGATAACCTTTGATGCACATTCAGCTGAATGTGCACCCCGGTTTTAAAGCTCGCGTCTCCAATTACACCCTTCCATCCAAGTGTTAAACGCTTGATATAGGGTAACAGACTGCTTTGTCGCAAAGTACACCCAGGCAAGGGTTGAGAGTCGGGAAAGTGTGGGTGGGGTGGTTTGGGTTTGCAACGTGCACTGTAATTGGGTGAGCAAATACGCCAAAGCAGGTTGGGTTGGCAAACTCACCTGCGCGACAAACAAAGCTGAGAATGCGCTCATCGTGCGACAACGGGACCGTCGCCCTCTCGTCCCTGCAAACCAAGCGTTTTACACAGCTCAGAAATATGAGACTGGGAACTCGTCAATATCTCAAAAGGCACTCTGCACCAAGTGTTTTACCTCCCTGGACACATGTCCCCGACTGGAGCACGACGAACGCAAAGTGGTTAGAAAGCCTCACCCAAAACCTCGATGCCCCACACTTCGTATGCCCATCACGACCTACACTGCTACAATCTCATTCGCATTCGACAAAAACGCGACCTGTCATAGACTATAGACCGCCATCTCTATCCCTAGACAATCCACAGCCCACGCCGCGCTGCCCCGAACCGGCTTTCATCGCCCAAACGCCCGACCCTTGATTAGGTGAGCCTAATCAATTTGCGGGAGATTACCCCGCCAGAAATGTGGGCCCCTAGAATCGCGTCGACATCGTAGGCCCGCGCAGTACGAGGCCCTTACGAGCACTAAGTGAACGGCTGTAGTGTAATAAGTGGCCTTACACGGCCTAATGAGAGGCGTTTTGAGCGGCGTAACGGGGGGCGAAACTAAATACGGAGTAAGGAGAGGCGCAATGAGAGGCAGAATTAGACTTGGCGTGAGAGGCGGAATGAGAGACGCACTGAGAGGAGGTGTGAAGTGCGGAAGCAGGGGCGGAATTATAGGCGGAATAAGAGGCGGAATGTGAGGCGGAATGAGAGGCGGAATGAGAGGCGGAACGAGAGGCGGAATGAGAGGCGGAACGAGAGGCGGAACGAGAGGCGGCGTGAGAGGCGGGATGAGAGGCGGATTGAGAGGCGGGATGAGGCGAATAGATAGGCGTAATGAGAGGCGTAATGAGAGGCGTAATGAGAGGCGTAATGAGGGGCGGAAAGAAACCCGGAATGAGAGGCGGAGTGAGATGCGGAAGGAGGGGCGGAATGAGAGGCGGAAGGAGAGGCGGCTTGAGATGCGGAATGAGAGGCGGAACGGGGAAGGGAGGAGCAGCGAGAGGGGGAAGGTAGGAGGTGCGAGAGGGGGAAGGGAGCTGCTGTGGGTGGGGGAAGGGAGGAGCTGTGAGAGGGGGAAGGGACGAGCTGTGATATGGGGAATGGAGATGCTGTGTGTGGGAAGTGAGGAGCTGTGAGAGGGGGAAGGGAGATGATGTGGGTGGGGGAAGGGAGGAGCTGTGAGAGGGGGAAGGGAGGAGCTGTGAGAGGGGGAAGGGAGATGCTGTGGGTGGGGGAAGGGAGATGCTGTGGGTGGGGGAAGGTAGGAGCTGTGAGAGGGGGAAGGGAGGAGCTGTGATAGGGGGAAGGGAGATGATGTGGGTGGGGGAAGGGAGGAGCTGTGAGAGGGGGAAGGGAGGAGCTGTGATAGGGGGAAGGGAGATGCTGTGGGTGGGGGAAGGGAGATGCTGTGAGATGGGGAAGGGAGGAGCTGTGAGAGGGGGAAGGGAGATGCTGTGGGTGGGGGAAGGGAGATGCTGTGGGTGGGGGAAGGGAGGAGCTGTGAGAGGGGGAAGGGAGGAGCTGTGATAGGGGGAAGGGAGATGATGTGGGTGGGGGAAGGGAGGAGCTGTGAGAGGGGGAAGGTAGGAGCTGTGATAGGGGGAAGGGAGATGCTGTGGGTGGGGGAAGGGAGATGCTGTGGGTGGGGGAAGGTAGGAGCTGTGAGAGGGGGAAGGGAGGAGCTGTGAGAGGGGGAAGGGAGATGATGTGGGTGGGGGAAGGGAGGAGCTGTGAGAGGGGGAAGGGAGATGCTGTGGGTGGGGGAAGGGAGGAGCTGTGAGAGGGGGAAGGGAGGAGCTGTGATAGGGGGAAGGGAGATGCTGTGGGTGGGGGAAGGGAGATGCTGTGAGATGGGGAAGGGAGGAGCTGTGAGAGGGGGAAGGGAGATGCTGTGGGTGGGGGAAGGGATATGCTGTGGGTGGGGGAAGGGAGGAGCTGTGAGAGGGGGAAGGGAGGAGCTGTGATAGGGGGAAGGGAGATGATGTGGGTGGGGGAAGGGAGGAGCTGTGAGAGGGGGAAGGTAGGAGCTGTGATAGGGGGAAGGGAGATGCTGTGGGTGGGGGAAGGGAGATGCTGTGGGTGGGGGAAGGTAGGAGCTGTGAGAGGGGGAAGGGAGGAGCTGTGAGAGGGGGAAGGGAGATGATGTGGGTGGGGGAAGGGAGGAGCTGTGAGAGGGGGAAGGGAGGAGCTGTGATAGGGGGAAGGGAGATGCTGTGGGTGGGGGAAGGTATGAGCTGTGAGAGGGGGAAGGGAGGAGCTGTGAGAGGGGGAAGGGAGGAGCTGTGATAGGGGGAAGGGAGATGATGTGGGTGGGGGAAGGGAGGAGCTGTGAGAGGGGGAAGGGAGGAGCTGTGATAGGGGGAAGGGAGATGCTGTGGGTGGGGGAAGGTATGAGCTGTGAGAGGGGGAAGGGAGGAGCTGTGATAGGGGGAAGGGAGGAGCTGTGATAGGGGCAAGGGAGATGCTGTGGGTGGGGGAAGGTAGGAGATGTGAGAGGGGGAAGGGAGGAGCTGTGATAGGGGGAAGGGAGATGATGTGGGTGGGGGAAGGGAGGAGCTGTGAGAGGGGGAAGGGAGGAGCTGTGAGAGGGGGAAGGGAGATGCTGTGGGTGGGGGAAGGGAGATGCTGTGGGTGGGGGAAGGTAGGAGCTGTGAGAGGGGGAAGGGAGGAGAGGACAGAGGTGGGGAGAAGGTGCACTGAGAGGGGGAAGGAGGAGAGGACAGAGGTCCTGTGAGAGGGGGGAGGGAAGGTGCTTAGCGATAGCACCGGGTGTGAACTTGTGGTGAGGCATACGCACGAATGCTCTCCATCCTTCCTGTCTCCGTACCCACCTCCTCACTCCCCTATCCCTTTCCCGCGCCTGGACCCGTTCCCGCTCCTCCCAAACCATTCCCCCATTGGGGGGAATAATATCCCATTCTTATTTTCCACTGCTCCCTCTCATCCCCCCCCTAGTGTCCCATCATTTTCCCCTGGAGTCCCTCTCATTTCACCCTTTGTTACCCCTAATTTTCCCTATGGGAGGGAGGTGCTGTCAGAAGGGGAGGTAGGTGAGCAGGTAGGGTGAAGATACGTGATGATGGAGGGGGGAGGGACATGAGGTGAGAGGGTGGAGGGAGGGGAGGTGAGTGGTGGAAGATAGGTGAGGAAGGGGGAAGGGTGGTGAGGTCAGAGGGGGGATGGGATGTGAGGGTAGGGGGAAATGAAGGTGAGTTCAGAGGGGGGAAGGGAGGTGCTGAGAGACGGGAGAGAAGGTGTTGGGAGGGGGGCAAGAGGTGCTGTCAGAGGGGGAAAGAGGTGATTTGAGAGGGGAGAGTTAAGTGCATAGGGAGGGGGAAAGGACTTGATTTCATATGGGGAATGTAGGCAAACAGGGGAGGGGAAAAGGAAGGTGAGGTCAAAAGGGGGGAATGAAGGTGCGTCGAGAGGGAAAAGAGGGTGCGGGCAGTGGGTTAGGAGGTGATGGGTGAGTTGGAAGGGGGTTGCGGTGCGGTCAGAGGGGCAAGATAAGTGCACGAATAAAGAGGAAAGGAGTTGAGGCACGCGGGGTAGAGGGTTAGTGGTGACGCTGGCAGGGGGGGAAGAGGTGATGTGAGAGGGGAACAGAGGTGCTTAGGGAGGGGGGTCTGGGGGTGGGAAGGGTGGTGCTGGCTGGGGCAATGCAACGATGTGAAATGCGGGCTGGGGCGGTGCAACGATGTGAGATGGGGATGAGATGTGCTTAGAGAGGGGGAAGCGAGGTACTGTCATAGTGGGAAGGGAGGTGAGGACAGAGGGAGAAGGGAGGTACAGTGACAGGGGGAAGGTTGAGAGGACAGAGGGGGGATGGTAGTGCAGTGAGTGTCGGAGTGGAGGTGCTGAGAGAGGGGTAAGTGAGGTGCTGATAGAGGGGAACGAGAGGTGCTGATAGAGGGGAACTAGAGGTGCTGATAGAGGGGAACGAGGTGCTGATAGAGGGGAACGAGAGGTGCTGATAGATGGGGGAGGGGGGTGCCGACCTCCGAGACATAGGCGGTGTCGGAGAGGGGAAGCGAGGTTCTGACTGGGGGGAATGCAACGATGGGAGAGGGGGAAGAAAGGTGCCTAGGGAGGGGGAAGGGAGGTGAGGTGAGAGGGGTGAGGGAGGTTCTGTGAGAGGGGGTAGGGCGGTGATGTGAGAGGGGGAAGGGAGTGGCTGGCCGGGAGGAGTTAGGCGGTGACCGAGGGGGGAAGGCCGGTGAGGGGGAACCGAGGTGGGAAGGGAGGTTTAGGCTGGGGGGAAAGTGGTGACATGATAGGAGGTAAATTGGTGGTTATGGGTGTATAGTCCGAGGTGGGATTTGGGTGGTGACTGGGTACTTCTAGGGGCGGTGACATCTGTCGTGAGTAACGGCACAACCTAACGCGCATGTCCTTTTATTGTGCCTCTGCAACCCGTCACCATCCCATCAGGCCTTTCACCACAACGCCATTCCGACTGGTGGCTTTCGACTGACGGACATTTGCGCATCGTGTCGTAATGACACCAAGGTGAGTGGTACGGGTTGTGTGAGGTTGCGTGTAGCACAAAAGCCATACACCAGCATATGTAATGGACATGTGATCGTAATGGCAGGCGATCCAAGAACAAGGGAGAGACTTTGCAGCAGCAGCTCAAAAACATTATGGGGGGTGTCAAGCAAAAGCCAGTGGGGCTTGGGAAACACACTGTCCTGCCCGTAACCATTATGCGCTGCGGTTTATCGGCACTGATGGGGAGGGAGGCATCGTTCAACGACGTGCTGCACGTCCTCATGGTTTCGGCCTGGGATGTCGTTGTGAAGCTAATAAATGCAGCAACTGATACTTGTAAGTGGCACCTTGGAACAATTGTGCATGGATCAAAACCAGCTAACACTTGCAAACAACCCACTAACATGCCCAAATCACGCCGTTTATGGTAGGTGGGAATGGCGACATGGTGAAAGAACAGGTAAAGTTACAATTGGAAGCACAGCGAGCAAGCTTCCTCGTGAGCCAACCGGGGGAAAAGGCGGACGAGGCGCATCTGCTCCAGAGGATGCCGAAGTCATTGGACGGCTTCGTTTATGAGTTCGATACATACCATCTCAACAAGGAGGGTGTGCTTGAGCCGGATAATGGACGTGGCCACGGAGGTGACCGTCGCGGACCGGCATATCAAGCACTAAACAATGCTGGTATGTCCATGTCACGGGGTGTTGTACACACCATTTCTTGAGACGTTTCGCTGGCATACTGTCGCGCTTTCTGTTTTGTTCAATTTGTCGCACGTCACCCTGCATCTATATGCACTGGTCGAAAGACGTGCGACTGGTCTTATCCATGTTGTGTGTCTCACAACACGCAATGACCCCCTGTTTGTAGGGGATTACTTCGAAATCCAATTATTTTCCCGTGCCCTTATACCCATTTACCCATATGCCACGTATGGTCATTAAACTGCAGTTGCAAGAGGAGATCATGATATGAGTGGCAACGGAGGATCACCCGTTACGGATTCGCCACCCGTGGGATGTGAGACTGCTGTGGCGGAGTTTGCCCCGGTGGACGATGAGGGGCATGTGGAAGAGGGGAGAGAGTTGGGAGAGGGGGATGGCCCCGTTGATGATGGGCAAGAGGAGGGGGAAGGTGCTGGAAGGGCATCCGTGCCAGATCGCCCGAGCGATGGGGCAACTGCATCTACTCCTGCAATCCGGCCCCAACCTGATGGGTAAGTGCGCCTATGTAGAGTCGATGGGTGTGTGGCCTCCTTCAAAAGCTTCCCAAGCTTGACTTGGTATAATGCTAGCAACTTCATCCATTCAATAAACACTCATCGAATCTACACATCATCCGTTGATAAACATCCCTAGCCAGCTGAGTTTGTGGCCTCTACCCTAAACTTTCCAAAATTGTGATGGCATTTCCAATTCGACCCCACCACAGCTTATCAGCGGGCCGTGCAGGAGCACCTCTCCGAAGGGCTCTCGCTCGATCATGGCCTCTGTCGGCCAACGCTGCTGCAACTAGCCTCAAAGGGGCGGTATGTCTGTTAGACCCCATTGTATTGCTACAATTCTTCATGAGTCTGGGAGTGGTCTGCTGTCAGGCGACCGCGTGTAAGGGTTCGTTGGTCGTGCGATCGTGTAAGATGGCGTGGGCGACGTTGGGGGTCTTGTGGGTCTGTGATACGTGTGGAAAGTCTATACAGTTTTGGTCTACTGAAAGGGGCAAAGTCACCAGGGGTGTAGGCAAACAGGGCCCAAAGACCTCCTTATTATTTCCGCGGTGGTTGGGGGCATTTGTTATGGCGGGAATAGGCTTCCAGCAGCTGTCGGAGGTTAGTCGGACCCTTGGGTTTAAGTCTATCGGGAAAGAGACCTTCTATCGTTACATGCGACAGCCGTACGGTTTGTGGGAGGCTATCATCGTCCACGGGGAAGAGAGCATGGCTAGAGCCCGTGCAGACATGCAGTTGCGCAAAGAGGGGGATGGGTACATTTGCGTGGATGGGCGTTGGTCACAGGCAAGGGAGGCGCAGTGGTGCACTGTCACTTTCATGGATCCACGGTCACGGAAGATGCTGTTGACTGTCACCGTATGCAAAAAAGAAGAGGGAAAGTCATCGACAGAGTTAGAAAGGGTTGCATTCAAGCTTGTCTTGGCGAAATTGAAAGAGTGGGGATTCAATGTGACCGGGATCATAAGTGACGATGGAGGGTCATTCAAAAAGGCGTTAGTTGGTACGGGTATCGACCATCAAATGAACGTGTGGCACAAAGGTCGAGCATTGACACGACTGTTTGTGAAGGCCTTTGTGGAGGCACAAGTGGGTACTATGATAGTGGATAAGGCCAAGTCATGTTCCGAGTTGTGGTCGGTCACACAGAAGGAGTTGTGGGAGTGGTTGACGCTAAAGGGAGGTGTGGGGAAAGGTGTGAGTTCGCGGTCCGCTAAAAAAACACTGATCAGCCATGTGTGTGCGAAATTGGGGACGATTCAGTTTGATGCATCGGCAAAGGCTGCTGAGAAATGGGCATTCTTGGAGATGAGGAAAGTGTTGAAGGTCCGGGCGAAGCCGGTTGAACCACCGGCCAAACGACGGAGGGGGCTTGGAGCAAGAGGAGGGGATGGAAGTGCAACATGAGCATAGTGGAGGGGGGGGAGAGAACGGTGACGTCGGTTCAACACCCCATGATGTCGGTGCTTTGGGTGGGGAAGCAGATGAGGTCTCTTGGATTCTGGGGATCAAGTGGGGCGACGTTGATACACCATTTGATTTTGATCCGCATCCCACGCATGCCGCCCGGGACGACATCACCCACGATTTCATCAGAGAGTCGGCGGAGTCTATGTTCAGCCTAAAGGACATCAAGATGATGACACGTGGTGAGTTTGCATTCCAACAGTTGCAAATTCCATTTCGCAGATGAATGAATACTTTGTCTCTAATGTGTTGCACATTTTCTTGAACACATTCAGGCGAAGTGGAGTCAGGCGATCCAGAGATGGGGCGAGATCGGCAGGCGGGGGAGCCTGTAGTGGCGGGAAAGCCTGGAGTGGCGGCGGAGCCTGGAGTGTCGGGGGTGCCTGAATCATCAGAGGAGCCTGGAGTGGCGGAGGAGCTTGGAGTGGCGGAGGAGCTTGGAGTGGCGGGGGAGCCTGGAGTGGCGGGGCAGCCTGGAGTGGCGGAGGAGCCTGGATTGGCGGGGGAGCCTGGAGTGGCGGAGGGACCTGGAGTGGCGGGGGAGCCTGGAGTGGCGGAGGAGCCTGGAGTGGAGGGGGAGCCTAGAGTGGCGAGGGAGCCTGGAGTGGCGGAGGAGCCTGGAGTGGGGGGGGTGCCTGGAGTGGGGGTCGAGCCTGGAGTGGCGTGGGATCCTGGAGTGGCGAAGGAGCCTGGAGTGGGGGGGGTGCATGGAGTGGGGGTCGAGCCTGGAGTGGGGGGGGAGGCCCTAGAGACTAGGGAGTGTGGTTCATCGGAGGAGCCTGGAGTAGAGGGGGAACCTAGAGTGGCGAGGGAGCCTGGAGTGGCGGGGGAGCCAGTAGTGTTGGGGGAGAAAGGCGTGGCGGGGGAGCCTGGACCGTTGGAAAATGCCGCTTCACGTCGTACCCCAAGGTGGCAGGAGAGGAAAACTGGGAAGCGGAAATGTGCTCAAGAGGGGTGTAGCAGTGAGGACACGGAGGGTGAAGTGGCCGATGTGACTGTTGGTCAGCGCTTCTGTATTCATTTCCACCATTGCATGATGCGCGCTGCATCAAAGGCAGAAGCAGGTCATCCAATGACTCCCCAAGAAGTGTCTGATGAGATTGGGGGGTTCGGAGACCATTGGGCGGGCATACACGCTGGTTGTCAGCGTGATGGTGTGGTCCCACGTTGTGTTAGGGAAGGTTGGGGGGAGGAAAGTGCGCTGTATGAACCGGGTTCAGCGACACACAAGGCGTTCAAAGAGTGGTTGTCCGTCCATTGTGGGCCAGGTCCCATGGCAGCATACGTGTTAGGTGCATCAAACTGGATGAACGAGTCATTTCACTCGTTGATCACGAAGTACGCGCCGAAACGTATAGCGTTCCTTGGCAGTATGCCGGCTCGGGTGGCGTTGAGTGTGCTGCACTGGAATCACGCGGTGGAGAGGGTTGTTAGGGAGTGGCGGACACGCGTACGCAAGGTAACACGAGTGCGGCGTGGGACGAAAGATCGGGTGCTTGGTCCGATGGATTGGCGTTGAGTGGATGAGGTCTTGGAGCGATGGGGAAAGATCAGGGCGTGTGGGGGCAAAGCAGGGAGCATAGGATCCGAGGAGCAAGGTGAAGGGGACGTGAATGGGGAGGAGGAGGTGGAGAACGAGGCTGATGACGGGGTGGGGGAGGGCGAAGAGGACGTGGTAGAAGTTGAGGGGGCCCCCGAGATGGCAGAGGAGGCTGTAGTGAGGTTGGGAGTATCCGAAGGAGATGAGAACGAGGCGCCTCATATTAGCTCCACTCCCATTCGACTTCCCTCGACGCCACCCCGCGCCGGCAGTTGCGCTCCGGCACGCACGCCATTTTCTCCGCTGACCCCCACATCCGATGCATTCGTGTTCACGAGCCCTGCAAGCAATAATGATTCCATTACGGGGGCACGTACACGACGTCGTACCCGCAGCAACGCGCGCCCCTCCCGAGTTAGGCGGACGCTACCGCTTGGTCAGTGTTGGGGCGTGTAGTCGGTACGGTTCTGTTTTGGTTCATATGGTTGCATATATATGTCATTTTGTTTGGTAAGGTGTTTGCTGATCATTGTGCTATGTGATCATACCTTCCCCAATTCAGGCGTCACGTCCCACCCACCGCAAGCATGAAGTGAATGTACGAGATGAGTGGGCTCAATGCAAAAGGCAACGCAAAATCCCCTCGCGGTATGAACCTACGGCATGCTGTTGGCATGACACTACTATTGTTCAAAGCTAACCTCTAGTTCTTTTATCGCTCTGAGAACGTTTCTTTTCCAACTACAGATTTATGGACTTCACGCATGACCTTGGACCCTAAATTCACTCGGGGATCACCGAGCCTGCATGGTGTCCAATAGTAAGTCCCACCCATTCATTCCCTCTATGCCCTCTCATTCAGTCCCTCTGCCCTCACATTCTTTCAAACCCTTCCCTCACATTCATACTCTCTGCCCTCGCATTCTTTCACTCCCTTCAATCACATTCATTCCCTCTGCCACATCATTCATTCCCTCCGCCCTCAGTTCCATTCCCTCAGCCCTCACATTCATTCCCTCCCTTCCCTCACATTCATACCCTCTGCCCTCCCATTCATTCCCTCCCTTCCCGCCCATTCATTCCCTCTGTCCTCACCTTCGTTCCCTTCTTACATCACATTCATTCCCTCTGCCGTGCCATTCGTTGCCTCCCTTCCCTTCCCGTGCCATTCATTCCCTCCCTTCCCTCACATTCATACCCTCTGCCCTCCCATTCATTCCCTCCCTTCCCGCCCATTCATTCCCTCTGTCCTCACCTTCGTTCCCTTCTTACATCACATTCATTCCCTCTATGCCCTCTCATTCAGTCCCTCTGCCCTCACATTCTTTCAAACCCTTCCCTCACATTCATACTCTCTGCCCTCGCATTCTTTCACTCCCTTCAATCACATTCATTCCCTCTGCCACATCATTCATTCCCTCCGCCCTCAGTTCCATTCCCTCAGCCCTCACATTCATTCCCTCCCTTCCCTCACATTCATACCCTCTGCCCTCCCATTCATTCCCTCCCTTCCCGCCCATTCATTCCCTCTGTCCTCACCTTCGTTCCCTTCTTACATCACATTCATTCCCTCTGCCGTGCCATTCGTTGCCTCCCTTCCCTTCCCGCCCATTCATTCCCTCTGTCCTCACCTTCATTCCCTCCTTACATCACATTCATTCCCTCTGCCGTGCCATTCGTTGCCTCCCTTCCCGCCCATTCATTCCCTCTGTCCTCACCTTCGTTCCCTCCTTACATCACATTCATTCCCTCTGCCGTGCCATTCGTTGCCTACCTTCCCTCACATTCATTCCCTCCGTTCCCTCACATTCATTCCCTCTGCCCTCACATTCATCCCCTCCCTTCCCTCACATTCATTTTCTATCCGATCTCACCTTCCCTCCTCTGACCTCACCTCCTTTTCCCTCCCCCGATGAACTCACCTCCCCTCCCCACGCTGTACTCACCACACATCCCCGCTGAACTCTCCTCCCTCCCCTCTCTGGCCTGTCCTCCATTCCCCCTCTTTCAATTCATCCTATTTGCTGTGCAGTGTGAACCCTTCATCCATGCCTTCACACCCCTTCCACCATCTGCCAGAAATTCCATTCTCCCCTTTCCATCTCTGTCCTTTCCATCTCCACCCTTTCCCCCGATTCGTCTCCTCCCCTCTGCACCGCATGCCATGTGCTCTCTTTCCCCTCATCTCAGCACCTCCCTTTCCCCTAAACCCATCTCCTATGCCGTCCCCCCATGCCACCTCATCCCCCTACGCACCTATCTTCCCCGTTTGCTCTCTCCTCCTTTCTCCCTCTGAACTCTCCTCCTTTCCGCTTTGCTAACATCTCGCCCTTTCTCTTTCCCATCGTCTTTCCCCCTTTGACCTCTCCTCCTTTCCCCATCTGACCTCACGATACTTTCCCCTATGCCACCACATATTTCTTCCCTGCCAGAACCCCCTTTGCCCTCACGCAGCACCCCGCCCCCCCCCTCCAAATTGACCCACCAACCCTTTCATGTCTGACCCATCGGCAGCAAGCCCCCTCTATACTCACCTCCCGGACTCCTTATGACCAACTCTACTCTTTGACCCCACCTCCCCCTTCGCCATCTCCCCCCTTTCCCCCCGCCATCACCTCTCGCAGCGTTGGCGGCAACTGAGCAGAGGGAGCAGAGAACGGCGTTGGTGAAAGTGTGGTAGGAGAGAGGGCGCTGGCGAAATACGGACCCATGTACGGTTATAGTGTTACAACCACGCAAAACAGTTGCTAAGCTAGTTTTAATTACGCGTGGAACCAACTTTGTCATGTGGCTTCGTGCTGCTACAGTAAACATGTTTGGGGAGAGTGCGACGCACGGCGCTACTTATCAAGGGGGAGAGAATTGCAGAGAGCTGCGTATGTCTAAGTGTCCCCATGGTGGTACCCTGCATCACATCAAGCATGGGTTGACTGGTTTAGGTGTAATGATGTAGTGATACATGTTCTTTGCTCCTTCGAAGAGCAAACTTTGCTACAATTTAGTGGCATACACACTAGCAAACGTGATGGCTAGCATTTACTCACACAAGGATTACAACATGCATATTCACACAACACGCGACTCTTGTGTCTCGACCATGTTCGCTACATCCGCGCCCACCGGGGGGCTGCGCATGGTGAAGTCAATCTCACTAGGGATTGTCCAAGACGTGAACCAGTCTACATCTGCCTGGCTACACCCCACGTAACCTTCATCTGAAAGCTCTGGGTAAAGTGACCCTATGACTACGTACACAAGCCATGGCAATGTAACGTGTGCAAACGGGTGGTCTCCTAACAGTTTGGAGTACTCGACGTAGCAACGGAAACGGTGGTTTTTTGCTACTATTGGTTGCCCATCTGCATCCTCCAGCGTGTTCTTTCCAAGACAGATATGCAGGACACCCTCAACAGTAACCCTCTCGTCCGTATCACCACTTTCCTGCCCCAGACCGAGCTCGTTTATGGCCCACTGTTCAAGCACAGAGCTTTGCTTTGGACATTCGATGGCAAACTCAGACAGGGACCAACGTTCCTTAGGATAAAAAAGCTGTGGCGGCAACCCAGTTGGCTGTACAACCCTACGTCGGGTCACCCTTTCAACGGGCCGCCAACTGCTGGCAACTACCGAGCGACCAGGTACACCATTGTTGTTCCTTGCGGTTCGGGATGGGACGGAAGAGGTTGATCCCGCCTGTCCCTCCATACCCTCCTCGTCATCCTCCTCTCCTTCAACTCCCATCCTGAACCCCAGCCGGATCCGACGACGCCGTCGAGAATCCCACCGATACATCTTCTTTGGACCTGGAGACGAGGACATAGGACGGGGCAGAGGTAGGTATGACTGGGCGTTATGTTGGGAAGAGAGCGGGGAAGGGAGGTGATCGAAGAGGATGGCAAGATGGGAGATTGGGGGACGGGGGTAAGGTCCTACTGACCTTACCTCTCTCCCCCCACTGACCTTACCTCCCTCCCCCATCTGACCTCTCCTCCCTCCCCCATCTGACCTTACGACCCTCCCCCATCCTACCTTACCTCCCTCCCCCATCTGACCTAACCTCCTTCCCCCCACTGACCTTACCTCCCTCCCCCATCTGACCTCACCTCCCTCCCCCATCTGACCTAACCTCTCTCCCCCATCTGACCTTACCTCTCTCCCCCCACTGACCTTACCTCCCTCCCCCATCTGACCTTACCTCCCTCCCCCATCTGACCTTACCTCCCTCCCCCATCCTGCTTTACCTCCCTCCCCCGTACTGACCTAACCTCCTTCCCCGCGCTGACCTTACCTCCCTCCCCCATCTGACCTTACCTCCTTCCCCCCACTGACCTTACCTCCCTCCCCCATCTGGCCTCACCTCCCTCCCCCATCCTACCTTACCTCCCTCCCCCAACTGACCTAACCTCCTTCCCCCATTCGACCTCACCTCCCTCCCCCATCTGACCTTACCTCCCTCCCCCATCTGACCTAACCTCCTTCCCCCCACTGACCTTACCTCCCTCCCCCATTCGACCTTACCTCCCTCCCCCATCTGACCTTACCTCCTTCCCCCCACTGACCTTACCTCCCTCCCCCATCTGACCTCTCCTCCCTCCCCCATCTGACCTTACGACCCTCCCCCATCCTACCTTACCTCCCTCCCCCATCTGACCTAACCTCCTTCCCCCCACTGACCTTACCTCCCTCCCCCACTGACCTTACCTCCCTCCCCCATCTGACCTAACCTCCTTCCCCCCACTGACCTTACCTCCCTCCCCCACTGACCTTACCTCCCTCCCCCATCTGACTTTACCTCCCTACACCATCTGTCCTTACCTCCTTCCCTACACTGACGTATACCTCCCTCCCCCCTCTGACCTCACCTCCCTCCCCCATCTGACCTTACCTCCCTTCCCCCCACTGACCTCACCTCCCTCCCCCCTCTGTCCTCACCTCCCTCCCCCCTCTGACCTCACCTCCTTCCCCCCTCTGACCTTACCTCCCTCCCCCCTCTGACCTTACCTCCCTCCCCCCTCTGACCTCACCTCCTTCCCCCCACTGACCTCACCTCCCTCCCCCCTCTGACCTTACCTCCCTCCCCCCTCTGACCTCACCTCCTTCCCCCCACTGACCTCACCTCCCTCCCCCCTCTGACCTTACCTCCCTCCCCCATCTGACCTTACCTCCTTCCCCCCACTGACCTCACCTCCCTCCCCCCTCTGACCTTACCTCCCTCCCCCCTCTGACCTTACCTCCTTCCCCCCTCTGACCTTACCTCCCTCCACCCACTGACCATACCTCCCTCCCCCATCTGACCTCACCTCCCTCCACCCTCTGCCCTCACCTTCCATTCCCCCCTCTGGCCTCACATCACTCCCCAATCTGACCTTGCCTCCCTCCCACCTCTGACCTTACCTACCTCCTGCCTCTGACCTCACATCCCTCCCCCCTCTGATCTCACATCCCTCCCCCCTCTGACGTTACCTCCATCCCCCCTCTGACCCCACCTCCCTTTCCCATCTGACCTCACGTCCCTTCCCCCCCTGACCTTACAGCCCTCCCCCCTCTGACATCACCTCCCTTCCCCCACGGAACCACCCTCCCTCCCCCTTATGGCATAACCTCCCTTCCCCCTCTGACCTTACCTCCATTCCCCATCTGACCTCACCTCCCTTCCCCATCTGACCTCACCTCCCTTCCCCCACTGAACTCACCTCCCTTCCCCCTATAGCATAACCTCTCTCCCCCCCCCCGTCCTGACATCCCTCCCCCCTCTGACCTCACCTCCTTTTCCCCCCCGACCTTACAACCCTCCCCCCTCTCACCTCACCTCCGTTCCTTTCCTCACCTCCATTCCCCCTATAGCACCACCTCCATTCCCCCACTCACCACTCCTCCTTTCCCCTTACAGCAATATATCTCTTCCCACATGAGCGCAACGTCCGTCCCCGTTATTGGACAACAGCTCGTTCCGTGGTCTTCTCCTACCCTATACCCCTCTCGCGCCGCCTCACAAAACCTCCTCCCATTCCGCCATCTACCGCCTTTCCGCCTCCCATTCTGTCGTAGCGTGTTTTTCGTTCTCGATTTCAGTATGCCTTTCCGCCTCGCCCAACCTTACATGTAAAGCCATCTCATTCCTCCCGGACCCGCCGTTTTGCATCTCATTCTGGTCTATACCGCCTTTCCCCCTCCCATTCCGCCCTCTATCGCCATTCCACCCCCCCATTCCGCCCTCTACCGCCTGTCCGCCTCCCATGCCGCCTCCCATTCCGCCCGCTACCGCCTTTCCCCCTCCCTTTCTGCCCTCGCATGTCATCCCGACTCGCCTACTTCCAAGGGCTGCCTTTCAGCCCAGCAAAACCTCCCTCTCTCGCCACTCCGCTTCCCATTCCGCACTATGACGCCATTTCACCCGTCATTCCGCCCTCTTCCACCATCTCCCCCTCCCATTCCGCCCTCTATCGCCTTTCCGCCCGTCATTCCGCCCTCTATCGCCTTTCCGCCCGTCATTCCGCCCTCTATCGCCTTTCCGCCCGTCATTCCGCCCTCTATCGCCTTTCCGCCCGTCATTCCGCCCTCTATCGCGTTTCCGCCCGTCATTCCGCCCTCTATCGCGTTTCCGCCCGTCATTCCGCCCTCTATCGCCTTTCCGCCCGTCATTCCGCCCTCTATCGCCTTTCCGCCCGTCATTCCGCCCTCTATCGCCTTTCCGCCCGTCATTCCGCCCTCTATCGCCTTTCCGCCCGTCATTCCGCCCTCTATCGCCTTTCCGCCCGTCATTCCGAGTTCACACTGCACATCCCTTCTCCCATGCCGCCATTCATCCACTCCTTCCGCACATCCCTACTATAATCCGCCATTCATCATCTCATTTCGCCGTTCATCTACTGGTTCTAGCCGTTCAAGGTCTTTTTCTGCCGTTCACCCTCTAGTTACACCGGTCCTACTCTCATTCCACTAAGCCCTTCTCTTTTTTCGCCGTCCCTTTTCTCATTCCGCCGTTCCTACTCTCATTCCGCCGTTGCTACGACGGTTTCGCGCTCCCTATTGTCATTCCGCCCTTCATCCTCCCTTTCCTCCCTTTTTCTTCCTATTCAACCCGTATACACATATTTCCGCCCGTCATGCGGGACCATTCCGCCTCTCTGACTCGCGTTCCGCCGTCGTCATCTCATTTCGCCCTTTATATTTTCGTTCCGCACTTGACGCTCTCATATCGCAATTACTTATCGCATTCCGCTCTTTCGCCCCTCATTCCGCCCATCCTTACTCTTACCTCGCCTATCCCTAACCTATCTCTGCCCGTCCCTAATAATAGCGTGCTCTCGAATGCATACCTTGTTTCTGTGGCGGTTGGGAAGGTGCTCAGTGACGGGACCCTAGAATTGGTTGAGTTTGCACTCTGTTTGAGACACTTCAGTTTTGTTTTCGTGCGACATGCTGTAGTCGTCGAGGTGGGTCGTTCAGGGCTTGATCTGGGCGAACCCTGTCCCCTTAGGCTCGTCCACATTCCAAACCTGACCACCTTGGTTTGTCTTGGCCTCGGCTGTTTTGGAGTTCGCTTTATTTGTTTCACATTCTCGTCACAAATTTCGTCGTTCGTCACCCAATCCCATCCCTGCAAACCCAACCAAGTATTAAAGCGACGGTGCACATTTGCCACCCAAAACCCAGAACCCTGGCGAACTGTTACTGCGGATGGAAAGTGTCCGCACGAAATCCTGGTTTTCGCCAGCCAGCACTTTCGCGCTGGCAAGCCTGGTTAAAAAAAAAAACTTCTGAACCCAACACTGCCAAAAGTTGCCCGTCGCTTTAAACGCTTGGAAATTGGAGACGCGAGCTTTAAGCAGATACCTTTTTCGTGTTCATACAGTGAACATCTATCCTGCTTATCAACTATCTGTGTTATCCAAGGTTAAGACAACTCCAAGGAAATGGAAACGGCTGATCTACAACTACAAAGCGTATTTCAAGGCAAGACAACACCGTGGTCTGGTATCTAACATCAATACACAGGATACTATCAAGACGCGGAACAATCATGATTTCCGCAGGTGTTATAAGAGGAGCTGTAAACACAAGTTCAGGCACAGGCCTTGTTGCCTTCCAGTTTTTTTAAGGATTCTTTGGAGGTTTCAGACAAAGCTCATTTCAGTCATCATCATGCCGCCGAAGCAGGTTAAGGCTGCTCCTAAGGCCTTACTGGAGGGGAATGACTCGCCCAGGAGTAACAGCGTGTCACCCCGTCTTAAGGATCCGGCTGGCGATGTGCTGGTGACGCCTCTGCCTTCGCCGAGTCGTCCATTGTCGCCTGCTCTGGATCCCGTCCAGCCACCGTTATCGTCACGTCTTTCGGCGCTGAAAGTCAGTGGATCGAAGGATGAGTCTGAAGGCTCGGCTTCAGGAAGTGATCCGGCTCCGGTGTCTCCGATCCAGCCTCCGCTGTCGCCGCTTCAGGAGAATGTGCCGCTCGAGGAACCTGCAATGGAGGAGAATGAAGATGGATATCTTAGTGACGACCCGGACGAAGGAGCAGATCATGTTTCTCTTAGCATTGTGGCTGCTAAGTTGAAGTTCACGCTAACTCTGCTCGTACCTTTCACGCATGAATCTGAGGTGCCAAGGACAGCTGACACGGTTGCTGATCACCTTGAGAACTGGAAGGATGATCTGTCGGAGGAAGCTCTAACTACTACAAAGTACCAGAAGCTTCCGGCTACGTACCTGTCGAAGACACGTTTCGGCCGGCTGCAAGTTGTCTTTACGTCGGTGGATGACGTGTTTTCCGTCAGGCAGCGGAAGATTAAACACTACACGCTCAAAGGCGAGAAGCTGGAGTTGGGTTGGCAGTTCCCGGAAGACTCGACCTACATCCAGCTGCGTGCGCTTCATCCGCAGGCGATGGAGATTGTGCTGAAGGGGGTCCCTGCAGAGCTGACTCCTGATGTCATCAGTTGCCTGCTGGTGGAGGTGAAGCTTGTGAAGAGGGGGAAGACGGCGTACAAGGAGGGTTTTGGTTTTCACCGCGTCCAAGACCCGGTTACTGGTCTGGACACGGACAAAGTACGCGGCCCGGTGGTCCAGCATGACAACGATAAATATCGTTGGCGTCACTTCATCGAGGATCCTGCGAAGAGGGGGAAAAAGATTCTGCTGCATTTTCCGTCTATCGCCTGTGACTACTGCAACGGACATCACATGGCGCGCTACCACGACGATTACGTCACGGACCGTCAGGCTAACATTTCCAAATGGAACCTAACGGTTAAACGTGTGCATGAGATCAACGGTATTGCAGATGACATGCGCTTTTCTACCCAGCCTTCTGCTCCGTTGTTAATCCCTGTTTACCGTACTGACTCACCTCTGTACTTACCTACGCGCAGCGGCTTCTCTGATAGTCACAGACCGTCTGAGAGCCACACTGAAGGACCCGGCCATGGTGCTGTTGTCGACGGGAGGCTCTCGCGAGGACTGGGTGTGTGTTCAAGATGCATGCGAGAAAGCCCACGGCTCCAGCTTCGAGCTTGCTGCTGCGCATGTCGCATCCATACGCCACAAGTCGAACCGCAACAAGGCGGGTGCTGCGACGCGCGAGAGCAAAGGCGCTATCAGTGCTGCGAACCTGCGGAAGGAGTTTCTCAAGTGACCTGCTGCTGGAAGAGGGGGGTTGCAGGGAAGAGTGCCAGAGAGGAAGGAGAGACAGGAATAAGGCTGGTTGAGCTAGTGGCGTCAGGAGTAACCGTGGCTGTATCGTTAGTAGTTGCTGTGTCTGTTTGTGTGGTGTTATCAACACGATCTTCCGACCCGTGGATGCTGTGGGGTCTCCAGCCAGTGGTTAAATGAATACATCCAGTTCACTCAAGATGTGCGCGCTCAATATCAACGGTTTGGGCAGCGCGGGGAAAAGCAACAAGTGTCAAAGTTGGATAAGGAAGGCAGCAGATGTGGTGGTGCTGTCAGATACTAGGGTTGGTGACGACCACAATTTCTGGACTCAATTAAGGGAACGTTCCTGTGGAGACACTTGTGTCTCAACCCCCGTTTTCCCGAGTCGCGCCTGTTAAATTTCCCAATGTCGCGTCACAAACATCGAATGTACCACGACGTATGGCGACTGATTGGCAGGGACAGTTGGACACTTTTCACTGGCTGCGATAAAAAAGAAATGTACAGGAACATGCATCTGATTGGGTGACAGTACACCCGTTTTTTCAACTTCCAGGCAGGGGCGTGGTTTCGATGCGCGGGACTTTTTTTCCCTCGCGAGATTGGCATGTTCGGGTGTCCATGTGCATTTGGCCGTGTCGACATTTCGAGCCGCGTGCGATTTTTTTACAATGACATGTCGTTTCGCAATTCGTCAGCGACGTCGGCGCATTTCACACGGACCAATAAAAAATACAGTGAAAGTCGTCGAGAGGCGACTCGAATTGAGACACCATACAGTACATGTTGTTTTTGGGTGTCACAAAGTGGTTGAGACACAAGTGTCTCCACAAGAACGTTCCCTAAGACCTACGGAGGTGGCTGCTGTTTTGCCATCACAGAAGGCAGGAGGGGTGGCGGTTTTGACTTTCACACCTGAGGTTAGGATGTCGGAGGTGCTGAAACACGAGTCGGGACGGCTGCTGAGTGTGAAGCTGGAATGGAAGGAGTTGGAATGGCGCCTGGTTGCGGTTTATCTTCCGGCGCAAGCGGGTGCAAGAAGCGTTTTCTTCAGGGAATGCTTGTTCCCCTTCATGAGTAAACTGCCTGCAACAACACATACAGCATTAATGGGGGATTTTAATCTGGTGGAGGATCCGGAGCTGGATAAGACATCAAAACTAGGAACGGTTGCGGAGAACAAGAGATTGGTGAGCGGATGCGCGGGTCTGGATCTGCAAGACGCTTTTCGTGCCCTGCACCCAGTAAAGAAAGAGTTTACCTTCTACTCGAGGTCGGCGAAGGAGAGTTCGCGTATTGATCGCGCGGTGGTGTCGGCTTCTATGTTAAGTTTCATCGGCGGTGCCTTCCACACATATGTTCCGAGGGGGATCACGGACCATTGGTTTGCCGTCTCTGTAAAGCTGGTGTCGTCGGAGGGCAAGGTGAGAGGACCCGGGCTGTGGAGGCTACCTGCGAAGCTGGCGGCCAGCCAAGGAGTGAAAAAGATTACGCATGCAATTACGCAACAGCAGGAAGGGGGAGCGGAAGACGGTTTTGTTAAGACGCTGAGTAAGCTACAGGCTGGTTTGAGAGAATATGCAAAAGGAGAGAGGAAGAGGGTGGCTCGCACAGTTGCGCACCTGGAGGATAAGGCGGCGGTGCTGAAGCAGGCCTTCATGAGTGATGCAGGCGATGTGCAGCTGCAGGAGCAGTTGGCCAAGTGCGAAGCGCAGCTGAAGTCATATTGGGATGGGAAACGCGACTGGCTGCAGACCCTGGCAGGAATACAAGGAGAACTGGAAGGGGAGAACAATCGAGGTTACTCTCAGGGAAGATTGCTGCACGGAAAGCAAGAACGGAAATTCTGGCTTTAACAGTGGGGGGTAAGACTGTTACGGACGCGAAGGAGATCCTAACAGCAGCATCGGATTTCTTCAAGGACCTGTTTGGGAGAGCCAAAAGCAAGAGGCTGGATGAAGGTGACCGGGAGATGCTGCAGGGTAACTGGACGGAGAAAGAAGTTAAAAAGGCGATAGCCGAGCTACCCAAGGGGAAAACACCGGGGCAAGACGGACTGCCGAGGGAGTTTTTCGTGGAGAACTGGGACCTTCTTGGCCCAGGGCTGATGCAGTTGTCCGTGTGTTTGAACGGTCGGGGGTACTTCCGGAGAGCCTCACGACGGCGGTAACTATTCTGCTGCACAAAAAGGGAGAGAAGGAGAATTTGGGGAATTACAGACCAATCACGCTTTTGAACACGGTCTACAAGATAGTCGCGAAGGTGCTGGCAAACAGGATGAAAAAGGTTTTGCCGAAGGTGATCTCGGAAGATCAACATGGCTTTGTACCAGGGCGGAAACTCTCGGATGCGGTGGCGGCGGTGGCGGATGTCATTGATGCAGCGGCAACCGGGAAGGAGGACTGGTACCTGCTGTTAGTGGATTTCCAAAAAGCATACGATTCAGTATCACGGGAGCACCTGTTCGGCACGCTGAGGGGAATGGGCTTCCCTGAGATATTCGTCAGCTGGGCGGAGGGTCTTCACAAGGAAGCTGGGACCAGACTGCTTATCAACGGCTGGCTAGGAGAACGGCTAGGTGTGGAGGTCGGGGTGAGACAAGGGGTCCGTTGGCGCCGTACCTGTTCATCTGCGCAGTGGAACCCTTATGTCAGGAGATTAAAAAGAGGATGCTGGGAGTCCGGAAGCGTGGGAAGGGAGGGCTGGCGTACCTGGGGTACGCGGACGACACTACGCTGGTGCTGAAAGGCTTGGATCAAGTGGAGAAGGCGGAAGGGGTGCTGAAGGATTTCGGGAAAGTCTCGGGCCTGCACATCAATCAGGAGAAAACTGTGTTAATACCGGTGGGGAGGAATCGGAGAAGAAAATTTCAGGGAGCAACGCCCTTCAAGGTAGCGGAGCCAGGGCAGCCCGAAAGGTTGTTGGGGGTATGGATTACCCCGAATGGAGAAGCGGGCCCGTCCTGGGACAGGGCTTTTGAGAGAGTGAGTGGCTCGCTCGGCAGATGGGCAGCGCAGCACATCACGACGTCAGCCAGGGTAGCAGTGATCAACTCCTATGTGATGCCGGTGTTACTCTTCCAGGCGCAGGTGTACCCGCCGCCGATTGACTTCTGGACGAGGGTTCGGAGGCTGTGCCACAATTTTGTCTCCGGGGGGAAGGCGACGGACCGCCGTTTCGTCCTCTGGAGTTTCGACCTGACATGCAGGAGAAGGAGAGATGGGGGGCTGGGGGTGATCAACCCGAGAGACCGCATTGACAGCATGGCTCTGCAGTGTTTAAGCAAGGCTATTGCTGAAACAAACGAGATAAAAAGGTGGATGATGGAGCAGGCGGCGGCGATGCCGCTGGGCTGGGCGACACTATGGGCGCACAAGGACATTGCCAAGCAATGGAAGGGAGGAGGAGAAAGGTGGAAGGCGTTCATGCAGGTTCTCTGGAAGAGGAAACTTCCGCTTTTCGGCGAGCCGGAGTCCAGATGGGAGGTGGAACAGGAACATTTGTGGTTCAACAACCGTATTCTCTTCAGAGGGAAGAGTCCGTTCGGGGCGCAGCGCGGTTCGGAGTGCTTAAAAGGGATGAGGCTCAGCGACCTGCTCATCACAAGTCAGGATGGGACAGTGGCGGTCAAGGACATGCAAAGGCTGAGCAGAGAGCTGGGGGGCAAGATCCCGGCGAGATGGGCGCTTAAGGCGTTTCAGGCGGCACCGGTGGAATGGCGTGACAAGTTACTGACCAAGCGGTCGGCGGAGGAAATTGCTGGGGCGACAAGCCTGGTGGTTACTGGCGCTGACAGAGGGAAGCAGAGGAATTACTGGAGGGTACTTAAAGCTTTCGTATACATTTGACAGAAGGGGTTCAAAAACTTTTGAAATTTGAAAGTTTGCCTGTGAGACCGTGAGGTGACTTTCTAAACCCAAAACCTGGATGACAAATGTATACTTCAGCTTTAAGACAGAAGGAGGAAGGCTGGTGGTGAAGCGGGTGGAGGTGATACGGGGGCATGTAGCTCCGGCGCCATATGCCAGTCCGTTCGCACTCAGCGCGTCATGGGTTACGCCAGTTAAGGAAGTGGACGGGAAGGTCTTAGGCCTGCTTGGGCACCACCTCACGCGGTTGAGAGAATCGGCGCTCTGTAAAGGAGGGGAGTTGTTGTCTCTGAAAACCCTAAGGAAGGCAATTGGAGGGCCAGTCGAGAAGCCGAAGCAGCAGGTCTGCTGGGAAGAGGAGTATGGGGGGACGATCAATTGGGCGAAAACCATCACTGTACGGGACTCAATGGTGGTCCCTTCCAGAGCGAGAGAGGTGCTTCTCCGTTTGCACAGCAGGAATCTGCAAGTGGGGGCTCGGCTCCCTTTCCTGGGGGTTTTGGCACGCTGCCCGCACTGCGGTGCAGACGAGACGGTGGATCACTGTTT